TTGTTATTTTTGGATTCTTGAATTCTACCACTAGTAAGTGTGTACACTAAGTTTCTTTAATAAACCTCTGAACTGTACCTGCTGTGCTTTGAGTCCTGCATTTGGGTCCTCAACCTTTAAACCACCCGCCAACGCTTGACATGGTGAAGCAGATGGAAAACCAGTGGTGGACGAAGTACAGTATACACATTGTTTTAAACAGTCAATTACTACATTAAAAAGGTTACTTTAGTCAAAGTACATAAGCATATGAAACAAAATGTTCTTAAAATATGAAAAGTACTCATAATGCAGAATAATTGTTTTAGTATTATGTATTATATTATTGTTATATTATCTGGGACCAACAACCATGCCACGTTCAGAGTCACTTGAATCCCCTTTCTTCACCATTCTGATGCTCAGTTTGAACTTCAGCAAGGTGTCTTGACCATGTCTGCATGAATAACTGCATTGAGTTGCTGCCATATGATTGGCTGATTATCTTTTTGTGTTCACAAGCAATTGCACAGGTGTACCTAAGAAAGTGGCATGTGAGTATTAAATGTAAATACATAAGCACAGAAAAGTACCTCAAATTTGTATTTCGGTGAAGTCCTATTTCTTACTAGCATGCACAATGAAAAATAAAGTGGCCTAGATAAACTCAAGCACAATCCTTAAAGAAAAATATTATTATTGTACAAATGCAGTCAGTGGTGTTAGAGGGGCCACAGAAGAGCCCCCAGTATGAGTGGAACCCCATTACAAAAACCAGCAATGGAAATCCACATGCTCAACACTCACTGGGAGGCAGGGGGGCTGTAAAAATTCCTGCTCCCAGGCCCATTATGAGCCAGCTCTGCCAGTGTTGGCCACAGAGACAGACACAGGAGGCCGGGATTGTCACAGACAGAGCAGGGATTGTGTATTGCTGATCTGTCACCTAACTGCAGCAACAGAATGCAGACAGCAGGCCGTAATTATTGTTTGTAGCCCGGGGTTTGCCAGTGCCACACTTTGGACCAAATAGCTCCCATTCTTGGCAATGTTTGGAATTTATTTGTGTATGGTCCTGTTGTTGCTGAGGTTCCTGTTTCTCTCCAAAGCAACAGCACTGCAGGGGAGCTCATTAAAAAGATTGTACAACTAGACTAGAAGAAGACTCAAATAAGACTCAGCATCAGTCAGAGTCAGTCAGCTCATAATGGGACAAGGCCACGGATAAAGTAAATCTTGTTTCTGGGTGTCATCGCTTCAAAACTGGAGGCGCTGGGCAGCAAAAAGGCATCCTTTGTTTCATCTCCCATGATGTTGAATCACAGACCAGCGTGCCCAGTAGCCATAGTAATCGTCCACAACATTATTTAACAAGTCTGAAACCCAGACAGATTAAGGGGCTGCCCTATTCGCAGAGATGAGCTATTACATGACAGTTTGTTAAATTTAGATTTGTTTTATTCATAAAGTTGCAGAAATGAGTGTTTGTAGCGTGTAGTTTGCAAGTTAGTTTTTTTCCCTTGCACTTTATTTTGGTTTGGTCTGAAAAATTGGTTGGCTTCTTTGTCATGACATGGCAGATTTAGTGGAGGGAGTGCTGCAGCACAATGTGTTTGTTGCGCCCCAGTGAGTGCATGGAGATCAGACTGAAGTCCTTGAATGTGAGAAAAAAGGAACAAGGCTGTAAATCTATGCCAGGGGGCCTCCAAAAAGCTTTTGTCAAGTCTGTGTGTGTGATGGTCAGGTTATTATCAGTGCTTGAAAGTAACTTCAGTACAATTACCCTTGCAGTTTGTAGTTTGCAAGGGTATTTCCACTTTCTGCTGCTCTTTCTCCACCACATTCCAGAAGGAAATATTGTACTTTTTACTCCACTACATTTATCTGACAGCTGGAGTTACAGTACTAGGTACATATTAAGATTTTACATTAAAAACTAGCTCTACCTCGACCAGCTATAGGTCTAAAATGTCAGTCACAGAACAAGTACGTTTACTTTTTTAGACTACATTTTGCTGATAATACTTTAACTTAAGAAGGGCTTTAAATACAGAACTTTCTCTTGTATTAGCAGTTTTACTTAAGGATCTTGATACTTGCGCTGGAAATCAAGCGGAATCTCCTTTTCTTTTTCATCTGCTGTGACCTTTTTGTCATTGGTCAGCAAAATGAGCAGAGTAAGGACGGGCGTTCCTTTCGGGGAATGGGGCTTCCACTGGATACCTTTCAACCATAGTAACAACAGAGGAATTAAACTGCAGGGGCTATTTTCCAAATCGCCATAGTGACTGACAAAACCCTTGGAAAGTATCCAGAATGGTCACTTTGTAAAGACCTCTCATTCACTCTCCCTCTCTTTGTCTCTCTCTCTCTTGTGCGTGTGTGTGTGTTTGCAGGGAGCGACTGGGTCAGGGAGAGGGAGGGGAATCAGAGAAACAATAACTTCCCAGCATTTGCCTCTGTTATTAGCATAAAATCATCATTTAGAATGTGTCAAATGTATAACATCAAAGTCTTAAATGACCCGCTGTCATTTGGTCATATTTATTTTCAGGGATTATATCCTCCGGTCACACATATTTGAAGCCAGTCTGTCAGTGAACATCACATCACAAGTGTCATTCGCATATGCCTGACTGCATCAGGGGGACTCACTCAGACCAACTGACAGCTGCGGATGACACTCTGAACACTCTTACCCACCTCAGGATGAGTGGATAAGATTGAAACAAATCCTTCAAGCGTGAAGACAGATAACATACACTTATAATACTTATTCATACCTCATAACAAATGTTTCCAAAGTCAAAATCATCTTCTGTGACACAATGGCATAATTATTTAAAGAGATATGAGAGAAACCCCCTACGAGCTGGGGCTAGATTGGGGTTTGGGAGTTTGACACTATGTTGGACTCTTGTTCCAAAAATAAACAGAATAGATATGCCTAAGGCTCATTCAGAATCCACATGCTTCTATTAGTTAATAACCTTATGAAAGTCAAATGTCACCACAGTCCAGAGATGCTTCTAGGCAAGCATCATAATGTGAATTATTTTTTTTTTACCAGTTTCTACCTCACCCCGCAAACCAAATTCCTAGAAGAAAGGAACTTACTGTTTTTGTGGGAAATGAAATATTGTTTTTAGAAAGAAAAATGCAAGTACCAAAATGTTTTAAAAAGTGTGTGTTACCACAAACATCTGTAGCAGCTATAAACTTGAACTCAGCTTCAATAGCGACTTTACCATTCAAGTAAATGATGTGGTCCCAAAATCAATTTTGTGGTTTAAATTCAAATCAACAGTGACTACTATTCAAAATGTGCTGTTAAAATAAATTCAGTGTTTCTGTTTTTTGTTTCAGATTTAAAAGGTCAAAGAGTTTCTTAAATTAACTTACAGCACAGATATATTTTATAGACTTTTTAAAGTATGTTGAATATTGACTATGTATACAGAAATGTATCCTGAGCTACTGTGTGTATATATACCCAGGGCAGAGGCTGTATGTAGGCAAATAAAAGAGAAACTCAGAAACAAACATTTACTTAGACATGATAACACTCAGATACATGTTAGTAGTGAAGTAATTATAATACAGCAGCAGAAGTAATTCTCCTCAGGATTTGATTATAGAGAATTTCCACTGGAAAATTAAAGTAAAAATTTAATATTTTTCTCAGCAACGGATTAACTCTACTATTACTGTATTGATTATGTCATATCAGTTGAATGTCTACCCAGTTATAAATTAGGTGGTGCCAGATTCGAACTGCAATTGCTGCTTTGGCCATGTGGGGGCAGCGGAAACAACTTGTGAACACAGCACTGACATAGCATCAGCTTTTCATTTCATTGGCCAACTTGTCAGCAAATAGTTGCCTATATATACGAGTATTTTATTTTGATACAAGTAAAGGAACTTTTTTAAAGTATTGATATTGGAATGTGTAAACACATAACCTATTGTAATTACCCAAATCTGAACGGATAATTTTAGTATTACTTATTTAATACACCGTAGTTAAGGGGGGAACTTCACTATCTTACACCTCAGATCAGTTTACCAGTCATGTTTAGTAGGCTACTCCTCAGCCTTTGGAATCATCTGTGGCTCTGGAAGGAGCTTTCCAAGTCAAAAAAAACCCTGATGATGTTAGGGTTAGGGCTTACTTTGGGCTCAGAAACTTATATAAGAAAGTGTTACAAACCTGGGGCTGGAGTTAGAAAGACGTGTTTATTTACCACACAGGGAGAGAACAATGATGCTACCGAGATGCGTTATGGGAGTTTCAGTGTTTTTGGCGCTCGATACATGCAAGGGACTAAAACCGACTAAAATTCAGCTTAACTTGACCTCTGCTGCATTAGTTTTGACTTCTTTGCAATAATAACTCTCTTAGGTGCCCCTTTAACCGTTTTAGTATGGCAAAAATAAACACAATAAAAAATTAAACATGGTTTATTGAATAATCTTCCAAACATTCTTTAGAAGCTGCCTTATGAATGAATGTAGGAATTTAGTTTTCACAGAATAATCAGTTCTCACTTCTTTATAAGTTCTCAATTAATACATGGTAATCTTTTGTTAAAATCCTGAGAGGATCTGGAGAGCAGCAAAGTAAATGATCCACATCTGTAATAGGAAATAGTAATCACTCAGTATCCATTGCACATTCGGAAGAACCAAAACAAGCAATCAAAATAAAAGATATATAAAGATAACAAGCTATAAAATCTGCTTTCCTTGGCAGATACATTAATTTCTAAGATACTGATGACTTGTAATTATAGATAAGACAGTGATGTGTAGGAGCATTGAATCGGTAGAAAAAAGTTCTTATTCGCTGATATCGTTCTATTTTTGATTTTGTAATGACTTTAATCTCCCCAATCTTTACCAAAAACACTGCACTGAACATTTCTGACTACATTCAAACATAAATAAGAGGCACAACTCTCTTCAATCACCACATGGCTGTCGGTCTGCAAGGGGGTTCCAGAAAGGTTTTTGTTCATGATTATTTGACAAAACAAAACATTTCTAGCTGCATTACAACAAAATAATCATAACCAAGACTTATAGAACAGAACCAGCATGTATGAATATTTCTGTGAAACATAATGTCCAGCTTCTATAGGATGGGACAGTATTGGCCACATCTCACGCGTAGTGTGTCCAGGGAGTCTTGTGCTTGCAATACACTCCTTTCACCACTAGATGTCCTTCTTGCCTGTGTCACAGCTGAGGACTCCCCCTCAGGATGCACTTTTCTGTCTGGAATTTTAAACTCTACTGATGCAAATGAAGACAGACTCCCATTTTTATTTTCCCAGCTTTTGGAAGTATCAATCTTAGGTGACACCCTGAATCCTCTCCCCTTGACACTGCTCGTATCTTTTTTACTACTATTGACACTGGAATCACCCAAAAAGGGGTCAGAGTCGCTTCCATGTGGCATGCTGTAGTAGGTGCACTTCGGAGTTTGAGGCTTCGCCATCTCCTCAAGCTCTGATGAGGATATGGCTGCAAGAGGGTTGTACTGGGTGTTATGATGAGGCAAGGAATCTACACTAGAGTTCTCCTGACCGGTATCTATAGATGTGCTATCTACACTGCCGTACATTCCCAGGGAGACCGGAGGAGATTTTCTGATGAGGTGATTCTCCTTGAGCAGCCATCTACCTTGGTCAATCAAAACCCCATCAGTAGAGTCTTTTTCTGAGGGAAAAGAAATGCACTGCATGACCTCTGTGGCAGGTTCGGCATCTGCCTTTTGTGAGCTTGCAGCACTGAAGTAAGACAGGTCCTCCTTTGAGGCTTTAGTGCCTGAGTCATAGGAAGAGAAACTTCCTCCACTTTTTAATCTGGAATTTTGTAAGATTTCTGAATTACTTGCAACTGACAGTCGCTCCACATTTGTTCTCCCATTAGGGATATCAGTCTTACTTCTGCAGACTGGAGAAGGTCTCCCTGAAGCCTCTTCTCCACTCTCTGTGACAATATCTACAGACTCCTGAGTTTTATATCCACCACTCTCTGATGTTTCTGGCCTGTAATCCGACAAATCTGAGGTGCTCGGGCTCGGGAGACACTTTAAGCCATATGAAGTATCTGCTCTACTTTTTGGAATAGCAATTTGTTTGGTTTGTACAACTCGTGCATTATCTGGCTCTATCCTGATGTTCCCCTTAGCATCGTATGTGAATATAAGTGAAGAGGACTGTAGGGCCAAGTTAACAAAGTCAAGTAATTCCTGTGATATTTCCACTGCATGTGGAAGACTGCTGCTCCTTTCCTCGCCAAGCTCACCTACCTCGTCTGTTTCAATTTCATTAACGGTGTCTGTTCCATTACCTTTATCATCTTCACACAGACCCTCAGAGGAATATTTGGTTGGTGATTCAGTGTTATATTCTGCTACCTTAATATCTACATTTGCTTCCCCTTCACAGCTACTTAGCTGCTGCATATATGAGGCCTCCTCTAGTAGACTTTTACAATCCGTACCACCGGCAACACTGTCCGCATCACTAACATTTTCTTCCTCTGCCTCATCGTTTGATTCTTGCTTTTCCACCTGGTCTAACCCCTCATTTAACTCATTACGTTCATTTTCTTCTTCGTCATCTTCCCTTTCCTCTTCATCTTGCATTTGCCCTGCATTGTCTTCAGCCTCCTCTAAAACCTCTTTCTCCTCACCTGATTCTTCCTCAAAACTATTTTCTGTTTTCTCCAGCTCAACCTCACCACACTTTTCTTCATCTACTATATTCATGTCAGTTTCATCTCCTTCCTCAACTGTAATCACTTTTCTTTCTATACTTTTAACCTCAACATCCTCACCATCCTCCTCGTGCTCTTGTTCCTCTTTTTGTTCTCTCTCTTCTTCCTCTTCTTGGTTTTCCTCACTGACTACCTCGGTTTTGTCCTCTTCCTTGTCTTTTTCCTCAACATCTTCTTCTTCATCCTCCTCCTCAATAACGTCCACCATTTCCTCCTCATCCTCCTCCTCCTCCTCCTCCTCAATAACCTCCTCTACATCTTTCTGAGTAACCACACCTGTTTCATCTTTCTCCTCTTCAATCATACTTTCTACCTCATCTTCCTCCTCTTCAATCATACTTTCTACCTCATCTTTCTCCTCTTCAGTCATACTTTCTACCTCATCTTTCTCCTCTTCAATCATACTTTCTACCTCATCTTTCTCCTCTTCAATCATACTTTCTACCTCATCTTTCTCCTCTTCAATCATACTTTCTACCTCATCTTTCTCCTCTTCAATCATACTTTCTACCTCATCTTCCTCCTCTTCAATCATACTTTCTACCTCATCTTTCTCCTCTTCAATCATACTTTCTACCTCATCTTTCTCCTCTTCAATCATACTTTCTACCTCATCTTTCTCCTCTTCAATCATACTTTCTACCTCATCTTCCTCCTCTTCAATCATACTTTCTACCTCGTCTTTCTCCTCTTCAATCATAATTTCTACCTCATCTTTCTCCTCTTCAATCCTACTTTCTACCTCGTCTTTCTCCTCTTCAATCATAATTTCTACCTCATCTTTCTCCTCTTCAATCCTACTTTCTACCTCGTCTTTCTCCTCTTCAATCATAATTTCTACCTCATCTTTCTCCTCTTCAATTATACTTTCTACCTCATCTTTCTCCTCAAAAACCTCATTCATTTCCTCTTCCTCATTGTTTTCCTCAATAACCTCAATACCTTCTTCCGCTTCTTCTTCATCCTCAGTGGAAGCATCTGCTTCTTCCTCCTCTTCCACTCCTTCAATGTTTTCTACTTCCCCACCTTCATCTGTCTCGACAATAACCTCATCTGCTTCATATTTAATCTCTTCCCTTTGCTTCTCCTCAGTTTCCCCTTCCTCCCCCCTTCCTTCCTCCTCTGTCTCATCAACACCCTCTCTCTCATCTGTCTCTTCAACACTGTTGTCCTCCCTTGCTTCTTGATCTTCTTCATCCATTAGTCCCTCCTCTGTCTCCTCAACCGCTTCCTTCTCTCCTTCTTCTAATATCACCCCTTCTTCCTCCTCATCCACTGTCATCACTTCCTCTGTTCCTTGCCCTGCATTTTCAACAGATTCCTCCTCCTCTCCACTTCCATTTCCCGCTTCCCACACCCCCTGCCCCTTGTCATCCATTTTTTCTTCTGTCACTACCTTCTCTTCTGCCTTTTCCTCCCTTTCTCCTGTTTCAGTCTTTTCATCATAATCATCATCATCATCATCATCATCTACCTCTTTTGTATCTCCATCCTCCCTATCGTCCTCTACCTCTTCTACCTGTTCCTCTTCTTTGTCTTTTAGGGGCTCATCTCTTTGTGTCCCCGATAGTTCTGACTGTGTGGCCTGTCCAGAATACACAGACTGCATTTTCTTTACGTTATCTATCTCTCCGTTATCATCGCCCTGTTTTGTCTGAGTAATGTCCTCCTCTATGCAGGGAGTATCAGGCTCTGATGATTGTTTTGCTTCATCATTGTATTCTTCAACAAATTTTTCTACATCTTCCTCTGAGTCCGACTGGTTTCTTTCAGCTTCTACAAAAGTGCTCTCCTCTACAGGGTAAAAACTCTTAGCCTGTTGGATTGTTGAAGAAATCTCTGCTCTGAGGTCTTGCGGCATATTAAGTTCCTCCATCAGCTCATCAATACAAAATTGCTGATCTTCAAATGTCTCACCCCCTTCAGAGAAAACATCCAGGGCAAATTCTGTTTCTGAAACTTTGGGAGACAGTGGTTCACTTTCAAGCCTTTCCCTCAGAATCTGAAAATCCTTCCAGCGTTCTCTGAACCTAGAAGACGCTCTGCTTTGCAGATCGGTCAAACTTGCCCTCTGCTCTTCCTCATCCTCGATGGCAGAAATTTTCTGCAGGGATTCCATCATTAGCATGGCCTCGGAGTCGCTTCTTGATTGGTTACCCTCTCCCAGCGCGGCTCCTGTAAGGTTATCTCGCAGAGTCATCACTGATAAGAATGACACCAAGGCTTTACATGACGAGCCAAACACCGAAGCCACTTGTGTTGGGAAATCGGGAAGGCTACTGGACTTCTCAAGATTGGATGTTGTGTTGGTGTCAGACGCCCCTCTGATGCACTGAATCGAGGAACAAAGCTGCCGCAAGACAGGTTTTATCGTTGCTGTGGGACTTAAAATGTTGGACATAGATGGAGATGGTTCATTATCAGCTGGAGCGATGGCCTCTGCAGATTTGTGTGACCTCAGTCTGTTCTCCTGGTCAACAGGATCGACCCTGACACTCGGCATTGAAACACATAAGCCTCTCACGTATTGTTCATTGTGCAGCAGAGCTGTAGCTGTCTCTGCATGACAAAGTGGTACTGACAGACAAGAAGCTGATTTCTTGACACCCCCACCAGAAGTTGGATAATATTCATCTAGGTTAGTCTGGCATTCATTCTTTTCATCGGATTCAGAATCACCGCCTATCTGAAACACAACCTTTGGTCGAGGCTCGGGTTCATCTGTGATAGCCTCCTCAGTGTATGGTACTGGATCTGGGTTGACTTTCTCCAACCAGTTCTCAACATATTGGTGAATTTCAGAGGGTGAAGGATTGAGAGAAGGCATCGAAAAACTCTCACCCAACTCTAAAGTCCTTTTAGGTGATGATAATATGCTTTCAGTCATGGATTTGGGCTTGCTAATTGTCTTTTTGCCTGGGAGAAGTGCTTTTTTGGGTTGTAAAATGTCTAACATGTTCTTCTTCATTTGAGGCCTTCCAGTTGGAGTATTTACATTATGGCCATTATCTTTAGCAGCTGCCTTATTTATGTTTTGTCTGTTAGATGGGGTCACATTTTCAGTTTTAACTAATAAGGCTTGCTCTTTCTTGGCCATATTTTCATCCTTACTTGTTTTCTTAATTTCATGCTTTTCTGCTCCTCTACTCTTTTGACCACTTTTAGCACTATCTGATGAACTCAGATCTTTTTTGCCCACGGTGGAAGTGCTGCTGAGTTTGTCTTTAGATGAATGCCTGCTTTTTTTTGAGGGGCTTACTATGCTTTCCTTTTGCTTTTTATCTGACCCGCTTGTTGATGTCGAACTCTTTTCATTCCTAGCAGGTTTAATCATTTTTTTCTTATTCTCACTTCTTAGACTTTTGTCTTTTTTTACTTTCTCCTGGGAGTTTGTTGCAGTTTGGGCCTCATTCTCAGTCACTGAAGACCGATTGTTAATAAGCTCATGTGTTGAAGTTATTGGCTCTGATGACAATGATAACATCTCCTCTTTCTGTCTTTGTCGTGACTCAGTAGTGGGTGGCTGCCGGCTAAAATCTATATCACAATCATTGCTTGATGATTGTGGACCTGAGTCAGTCGATGGTTTACTTTCTGGCGCGCCACCATCTGCACTATATTCCTCATTTGCAAAATAGTTGTCGTAGCAGCCTTGACTCTCATAAATATGCATCACAGTCTCTGTAACCTCCATCCCATTATTCTGTATCTGAAGGACCTCAGCTACTCCTGGGGACCTGATGGAGGAGTGGGAGCCTTTGTTGGAGGCCCCTGCAGACACAGTTTTCCGTGGTTTTGGGATAGGCTTGTTGCTGCTGCTACTGCTGTGTCTGACAACGCAGTATCCCTCAGTTGTCTCACCATCAGCCGTCCTCTCCAAGTAAGAATAATGTCCCAGGGTGCTCTCTTTAACCCCTGACTCTGTGACCATCTTCACACTCTCAACAGACGCCTTCTTCCTAACATGCCGAGGTGCAGGACCTGGGGTAGGAGTGCGTTTGAAACCTGTTGTTGTTGCCAAGGCCCTGGAAGTGTAGCCCTCATATACTCGCTTGTCGTTAAAGCCGACGACCTTTCCAGTGTCAGCGGGATGGTTCTCCTCTTTTGATTCATCTTCACTTGTGCTAGAGGAGTCTTTGGCAATGGCATTGTTTGAGTCAGGTGAGCTGTTGCCCGTCTCAGAAATTGAGGCACAAAGTGTCCTCTTGCTAAGGCTAGAGCGGCTGAGTGTGGTAGTCCAGTGGAGCATCTCCTCCTCTTTAATGGTCAGACGAACTTTCATCTCCACTGTCATGCTGCCATCTTGATTCACACGGAAAGACTTTTCTATGTCATCGTCCTTAGGTACAATGCAAGCATGCATGTCATTATCTACCCTTCCAGTTCCACATGTCTCCATGGGGTTGTGACGATGGTTGACCTCTGTTTCAAATGATCCGTTGTTGTGATGCAGGTGGCTGTTCATGGTTCCATTTCGAGACTTGTTTATTTGGTCGACAATGTATCTCTCGGATGATAAGGAAAAATTCCTCGAGCCTCTTCCACTTGAGAAAGATTTGTTGTTCTCTTTAGTTGGAGGTGTTGGTCAAAGAGAGGGGGAGAGACAATGCAAGAGAAAAATATTTAAGGCCATTGTAAAAGCTTTATGGAGTATTGGTTTGGCATATTTAAGGGAATAGTTTGACATTTGACAAGAAATACCATTATTTGCTTTCAAGCTGAGAGTTAGATAAGCAGGTTTATGAATGCCACTGTCATATGTGTCTGTTAAAACTTATGCTGCAGCCGATTAGCTTTGCAGTGCAAAACTGCTATCGCAATGAAACATTTTACATCATTCGATATCGATAATTATCACAATAAATGTCAACCAGAAACCAGAAGATGGTTTATTGTGTGGTTAAACATTTCTTTATGGTCAGAATGGGACAAACACTTGATGCCAAACAGTGGAACTCTTAATAAATCTGAGGGAGAACATTCAAAACTAATTTAAAACAAAAAAATTTAACAAATATGATTAGTAAATCTTTTTCCAGTCCCTTTTCCTCAACAAAATAAATATAAAAAATTAAGTGCTAATTTGTTTGTGATTCAAATTAATTAAACCAAATATTGACGATATGATATATTGAACATTTATTATATTGATATTGAGGTAAATTATATTGCGATAATAATCATTATTTTTTTGTTGCCCAGTCCTAGGTACTAGCGGGCGGATTTTGTTACCTTTTGATAGAGCTAGGCTAGCAGTTTCCCCTTTTTTCCTGTCTTTATTCTAAGATAAGCTTCCTGGCTCTACCTTCGTTCTTAGCTTACAGACATGAGAGTGGTATCAATATTCTTATCTGACTGTTGGCAAAAAAGCAAATAAGCGTATCTTCCAAAAAGGGGTCAGTTTCATTGGATAGGGTTGAAGCAAAAAAGTCAGTTATAAATAAATCTCAAAACTAGGACTGATAAAACTTATCTGCAACAGCTAGATACCACTACAATTAAGTGAGTAAATGTATTTTTGGGTGAACTAACCCTTTAACAATGACTAACTACTGAATATAACAAATGAATTACACTTTAGGACCATCATAAATAAACAGAACTTATGGGATTGTATTATCCCTATTATCACTTGTTACACTGATCGTCAGCTGCGTAAAAAATAAACTGAAAGTTGCTGCCAAAATCCCCATAGGACTACATGTTTAAATGCAGACAAATTCTGCAGACAAATATATGCATCTATACAGTGAAAATGTTCGACCATCTGTAAAGTTTTCATTATTTATTTGTTTCTCTTTTCAGAGCAACACTTACGAGCTGTGGGCTGCAACATAGATGGTTCCACATTATCCGCGTACATTAATTGTGCCATCTGGCCCGTTCTGTGAAAACTGTAGTTTCCTAATCGGAATGGCTCGTTGCCTGCTGCCACAACAACTCCAGCGCACAGGATAAGTGTTGTGAGACTATCAACCTGAAAGAGGAGCAGAAACACTTTTCATTATACTAGTCACTTTCAATTGGTCGCATACATGCACTTACTGTATCGCAGTCTCAGATACATGTAAACTGAAAAGAATTTGCAGAATCAAAAATTGCAGGTACACTTGACATTTCATTGGCCACAGTGAACGTAAAACAGACCAGAGATCACAGATGATGAGAAAGTTCTAAGAAGGAAATAAGCATTTAAATGGTGTCAACACTCGTGACCTTTAACAGACAGCCTGTTGCTGTTAAAGTACTCATGGAAAGAGGGATTACGCTCACTAGGGGGTGGAGATTTTGATAGCACCTCTTAGCACTTCTTGGAATACTTATAATGTGTAATGTAACAGGGTAAAAACCTTGATTCCTATGTCCTGTCATAGACGTTACGGTGAAAAGCATGCCCACAACAGTTATTTATTTTAGTTGTGCAGTTTTGTGTACATGGATATAGTATCTCCAAAACCAAGACTCTCAGAAGCCTGTTTTTAGTTTTTGATGACTCATCTTAAACTTTATATTACATAAATATTTACATATTTCCTATCAAATGTGATCTGGGGTGATTTGCTAACCCCGTCCATCATGTAAAACCACACTTGGCTGTGGGTTAGTAGCAGAGCAAAATCATACTAGGAGGTGTGTGTTCAGATTTCAGTGGGTCTAATTTATTAATTCACTCTTCACCTAACAACACAGGTGCTCACTAAACCACAGCCGATCCAATCAAATCTGAAGGACTTGATTTCAATCTAGTAACTGAACCATCTCCCACATACGCCCTAACTTCTGTGGCTTTAAAGAAGTTTGGGAAATAAGCTCATTTTTCTTGCTGAGACTTAGATGAGATGATTGAGACCACTCTCATCCTTATCCGTTCAAACATGAAGCTGGAGCCAACAGCTGGTTAGCTTTTCTTAACATAAAGACTTGAAACAAGAAGAAACAGCTAGTGTGGATCTGAAGGTAACAAAATCCACCTACCAGCACTTGTAAATCTTACAGATCAACATGTTATATCTCAATTGTTTAATCGGTACAAAAACCGAAGTGTAAAAATGACAATTTGTGTTTTTATGGTTGGTGGTTTGCGGGAATATTTCTTCCTAGCTAGGTGCAGTGACTTCACGGAGTCTCCACTGGTTGCCTCTTTCCATTCTTTATGCTAAGCTGAGCTCTCTGTCAAAATGAAGCTGGAGCGGAAGTAGGAGAGTTTCATTGATATTCTCACCTAACTCTCTGCCAGAAAACAAATAAAAGTATTTTCTAAAATTCCAAAACTATTTGTAAGCACAACCCTTAAAGAATTTATACAGATCACATTGGGCTACACCCATTTCAAAAAAGAAGCCACTTATAATATTTTTTAGAAGTTGCTGTAGATTAGTATTTATCTTCATTCTCAGTTTCAGCCAAATACTTACTCTTCTGCCATCTGTAGAAAAGAGTTTCAGCACTGGGAACTGCAGGATCTGGGAAAGGTAATCTAGTAAAGCCTCAAATGTTGGTGCTGTTCTTCTCTGCAACACAATCGTGCGTTTAACAGTGGGATCCCTATTCTTGATGACCACAAGCTTCTTTGGTGTCCGTACCGCCACTCGTTCAGTGACCTTTGCTGGCCTGTTGGTGACTTCATTCCTTCTGCCAAACCGGAGTCCTTGACGCTTTCGTCGCCCTGCACTGACGGGTCTGGTTGTATTCCACGGTACCTGCCGCCGGTTCACTTCATCCAGGTTTAATGGCTTCACACGTTTCTGATCAGAACACACATATGATCCCCCATCAAGTAAGTCATCTAAAGCCTTCACCAGGTGGGTCCCGCGAGGTGTGGTGATGGTTCTCACTCCAAATGGAAGAGGCACTTTTTTGGAAAGAGCATCCAGTAGAGCATCAAACGTCTTGAAGGTGCGGGCACTGATGACCATGCGATGCCCACTGAATTTAGGGTCACCGCTCTTGTAGAAACATACTCTTTTAGAAGCTGAGGGATCAGAGATTGGCTGAAAGGGTCGGGAGGGTGACGTCTGCCCACTGCCAGACGACAATTCCTGGGCAGGTGGCTCCTGGATGGGTGTGTTGCTCATATTGTATGGAGGTGGCTAGAAAGAAAGCAGAGAGAGGGAGAAATCTTATCATTTGCTACTGCAGATAGCACAGGTAAGATAATTAACAGGTAGGGTTGTAGCTATGATAGTAATGTAGAAATGTTTTCCCCCTAGAGCCATATAAGCAGTAAAATACAAGCATGTTTGACTTATAGCTAGTAAAATTATTTACTTTGATCCACCCTCAGGTGAAAGGGATTGACCATTCCTGAGCTTACCTGTAGATTTGTGGCTTTGTGAATCGAGGTGTGACTTTTGCTTGGCGCCAGTTTTTAATATTGTAAGGCTCTTTTCAAAACAAAGTGACAACATCTTAATTTCTCTTCAGTTACCCCTTGGTACAGACTGTATACTCTTGAAATATGATTCTTAGTCCTTCCTCACAGAATTATTTATCTCCACACTTGCAAAAATATACATTTACAACACATTCTTGTATATTTTCTCTACAAAATGGATCACCATCTCAAAAGCCAACATGAAAAACATTCTTAAACAAAAATAAGTAAAGTAAAATGCACACCAGCTCGTGTAATAACATGGTTCTCCACTGGTGTGGGATGTGGTGCTGAATCAAACGAAGGCCCCCTGAAAAGCCTGACCAAATACAGCACTAAACTCCAGAAACATGAAAACCATCATTCTATAATTTTTCAGAGGGAGTCGTGTCTCCTAATTGCCATGTGCTGATCATGTTTTAAAAACCATGTTTACTGAAAGTTGAATTATTAAATGTAGGATAACAGTGCCGTGATGCATACATATAGTTTTCCATGCAATATATTATATATATTTTTGTCTTTTGTAGATTTATATGAATTCAGTAATAGATAACATAAGTGTAGTTGACGTCATAGTTGCATAATATCAGTAGACTTAAATCCAGCATGGTAGAAAAGAACATATTTAAGAGAAAACACCTTGTATTAGAGCACATAACCTCTGTTGCTTATTCCTTTGTAGAGGTTATATAAGTTATTAGTTGTATAAGAGTCTACAGTAAATCTACACAATCGTTATAAATAATAGCCCACATTGTTACTATGAACAACACAAGTCTAACTACATGTAGATGTAAAGGCCATTAACACATGAAAAATATCAACATATTACTGTAGCCATATTACACTCTGTAGATACTTAAAAAATTAACTGGCTGGCAAAAAACATGTAACTAGAAATGTAATGAACAAGACTTACCGTATATCTCACATTTCACCTTAATTATAACAACTAAAACAGAAAGTGTGCATCCGTTGTACCTCCGAGCGCTGGTCAAAGCCTCTCAGCAGCATTGGAGGGCTATTTTGGGACATGCAGCATCATGGCCAATTTGCTTAATCTTTGGTCACATGTAATCAGCATATCAAGGTAAGGTAACAAATGAAGCAAACAAAGAGGAACTGTACTGCAGATATTTGTACTTTTGTCAGTATGAGATTCAATCACAAATAGATGGCAATATTGTTTTTCTGAAATACTAGGACTTCAAATATATTTGGTCAACTAACAGTTTTACATCATGGCTAATGTGTCCTGTAAGTCTCGATAAAATATTTAACAAATGTTCCGAAAGTCTTCTCTGCCTCATCATAAATTTAAACATAAATTTCTCGATGGCCATTTGTATCAAAAGACAAAGTGAGAGAGTAACTGAGTGAATGGGTGAATGAGTACAGCAAAAGGCTGAGTGAGTACCAGACAAATTATGTGAATGAGGTGGTTAAAGTTCACAAAGGTATATGAACTCTCCAGTTCAAATGATATTAGTAAATTTTTACTGCTCCAGACAGATACCAAGGTGGCTAGGACTATTTCTAATTTGCAAGCAGCCTGCATAATCAGATTTGAGAAGTCTTGGCCTAATAGGGATTAGGTTAAAGATTTTGCGCACTTGCTGACAGCATGAAGCAGAATAAGGTCTTAAGAGAGCACTTTTACCTCACAGCAGGTATTGGAAATCCACCAACAGATTTCAAAACACATGGTGAGTGTAACTGACTACAAATCATGTCAATAATTTTAGGAATACTTTAGCTTTGTATCCAAACTACGAAGGCTGATATGGTTTAAATGTTTGTACCAAATAGTAGCATGAGGGGGTGAGAGCTGTATCACTATACTGCAGTTGGCAGACAGTGTGCCAATTACCAACTGCCCCTGACTGAGTAAAAGCTGCTAATACCTCCCTCTAGCACATGCACTGTCCTGGAAGATGGAGACTTGCTGGAGGGGGGATTGAAGGAATGGCCTGTGTAGGCGAAATAGAGTCCAATATGAGGGAATATTTCATTACAGCAAGTGTTTGATTAGCATAAAAGCCCCATTAATAATGTTTCCAGTGTGTTGTAATTAACGCTAATAAACAGATAAAAAAAATTACATTTTGGCACAGTATTTGACCTTTTTGTTTTGTATTATGTACTGTAATTAGCATCACATAACATGTTTTTGTTCAGGTAAATATTATATCTGTTTTTATTATTTATTTTGTTTTTATTCTATCTGTGCCACATAAAAGCAGTGTAAGATCAACAGTGTAGCATGTAGCATGAACGTGGCCTAGATTCTGTTACTCAAAGGTCACATGTTTGATCTGCACAACAGCCATGCCATCCTTAAAAGCCACTAGTCCTACCAAAGGCACCTAGCAAGACAGAAGCTCGTTCACTGACTGTTAATTACAGTCAGTAATACAGTAATAAAAGTCAACTGCTGCACAGAGCAAAGCAAATATTTTTACACTCTACTGTATATACCTGCAACTGACTTGGAGGAAATATGTCTACAGTACCAAACAACTATTGACTCTATCACTGTAGGTGATCACCTGAGGAGGTAAATGAATCTGGTAATTAACAAGAAAAAAAACCTCAGAAATCAGAGGAATGTGTGAAAATGTACATATAAATTGGGATTTTCTTTTCTTTCTTTTCTTCTTCTTCCGCATAACTATTTATGACCCAAACATTTATGTCAAGCTGAAATAGACGTTGTTGACCCAAGCAGAGATGCAGGTGGCAGTTTGGCGCCATCTAACGACAGGTAGCGATATTGCCAAAATACAGGCTGTGTTGTGGTAGTCGGGGGACAGACAGTAATGTAAAACTTGAGAAAATATAGAGTTATATCTTGGTATTCATAAAAAAAAAAATGTGTCTGATTAATGCACTGGGTGAAGACCACTTACTGCTGCGACAGGTCCTAGATGAATTTGCGTTCCGTCTCGATTAACTCCCTCTGTACTTATCATGCATCAATTAGTCAGGTCTGTTACTCAGCGGCGGGTCAGTGTGCGGTCCCGGTCCGTCAAGTAGACGCCGCCGCTTTCACTTCAGTGGCGTGGTCTTTGTTGCGAATTTTCTTTTCGTTTGCTCCTGACTTTTTGGATTACATCGGATCAGTCAACATGGGCAAAAAAGAGGAAGAGGAGATAATCAGAATTGCAAAGAAGATGGATAAAATGGCGCAGAAGAAGAACGGGGTGAGATGTGTGAGAAGAATGAATGCTCACCGGGTCGCTGCTTAGCCGATCAAGCTGATGTTGATGCTTAGCTAACGCTGGCGCTAATGGGATGTGATGTGGTTAGTCGACTCTCTAGCTAGCTGAACATCTTGCCAGTTTGTCAACACAATGTTGCACAAGTGTGTCAGTCCACCAGAGTATTTTATTACAACCGGTAACTACATCGTTAGCATCAGCAATTAGCTCCACGGCTAATGTACCTGTTGTTGTGACTGGCTAGGCGCAAACAGCTAGCGTGCAAGTATGTTTATGTTAACGGCAGGGCAACGGGTTGCTAGCAGTTAGCCACATAGCAGCCCACTAGTTCCTGCTAGCTTTGTGTTTTGCAGAGCAATAACATGTTGGATGTGGTCATTTTTGGAAAACTGAAAACAAGTAACGTTAGCTAGATCAAAATCTGAAATACAATTATACTGTTATCCTTTAGATTCAAGTTCTGTTTTCAAGCTGCCAAGTAACGTTAGCTAAATTAGCTGCTTTGGACGCTTAACGGTAACGTAACTTAGCCGCCTTATTAACTGCTGTTATAAGTTAACTTGTTAACTGCACTAATTTACAGGTAATCAAACATAATACGTTAATTGGGTTACAACTAAGTTAACGATACGTTTCACTATCGAGTAAATATTAGCTCTTTAAAATGTTACAGTGACAAATGCCTATCACACCCAAATGTCCTACCAACAGTGGTAACCGGACAGATATTCAATTTAATATAACACAAGACGAGAGAAATCAGCAAATCACCAGATTAGTGAAGCCAGTACAGGTTTGTTAGGAAACTATTAAAAACACCCAGAAAGTTGAGTAATTTTCGGTAAGTTGTCTAGTCAGTTAATTGACTATATTCATCTCTGTTAATGTTTGACTTAAATCCCAAATAAAAAAAAAAAATCTGTTTACAAAGTATAATAACTAGTTAACAAGTCCTTAATACATCGATTTTGTCCAACTCACTTACATTTAAAATATTACTGTTAATAAATAGAACTTAACTTGAATAGATTAGTCCAGTAAAGATTAATAAGAAACCTAGATTTGTATCAAACATGTTCACCTATGATAAACCAAACTAATCATCAGTATACAGCTAAGGAGAGGTGTAGTGCAAGATTGATTCAAGTGTATCTAAACGCCCTCTTTCCACTCCCCTCTCCTCTGCAGGCTGGGGCTTTGGACCTATTGAAGGAGCTGCGCAGTGTCCCCATGACTCTCGAGCTGCTTCAGGTATCGTTGCTCATTTTATCTTCAGGCTCACTGTCGGCACAGGCAGCGCTCAAACCCTGAAGCACTGACACGATGTCTATCCACAGTCTACCAGAATTGGGATGTCCGTTAACGCCATCCGCAAGCAGAGCACAGACGACGAGGTGACATCTCTAGCCAAGTCCTTGATCAAATCATGGAAGAAGCTTTTGGGTAATTAGTACTTTTCAGTTCCACCATGTACATAAATATGTTTGTGAATTTGTTTAGTGAGATGTATTTTTTTTTTACTAGAGACATATTTTGATGTCCCAAGCTGTTGTGCATGATTGTATTGGAGCAAGTCATAGTATTTTTTTGTAATTGATGAAGCCCAGGTCAATTTTGCAACGCATTAAACTGTGGATACACCAGCTGTCAAAAATGTCCCGTTGGATTTTATTAAATTGCTTGCATCTGTTCTCAACCCACAGTGAGTAAGAAAAAGATTTAAGTTGAAGCATTTTTTGTAAGTTACAATAGTCACAATATAATATCATGATATTGTTCTTAATATCCAAAGTGTAACCTCTGACACTTAACTGGTATTTGATTGTTGCTCCCGAATCACTCTTATGAAATGTTTGGGTTATGTCATGCCCAAGATTTTATTCAGATTTTGCCTGTTCACATTTGGTTATCACTGTAAATGTTGTTGTTATTACCTCCTTGTGTAATTTTATGATTCACGACTGAACACACATTAGTGGAGATGATATTTTAATTAAAAAGGCAACAGTATTGCAAAAATTAGTAGCTTACACAACAGTATATTACCTAGCCATTAAGGTCGCTTTGCTTCTACTTAAGTGGTATTTTGCTGCTGAATTACTGCTTATGTGTAAATAACATTTTAACTTGTATTTTGTTTATGCCGGGTTTGAAAGATACATCCGATTTCAACTCAAAATGTTTTGCCACAACAATGTTTGACACTAAGCGTAGAACTGCCAAGACTTCCCAATACAGGAGGTCAAGATGCATACCATATTATCACTGTGTGCCTGGTGGTGATTTCTACCAGGGACTATTGCTGCATGTCTTTCCAAACTTTTTCCTCTTGTTTCCAGTCTGCCTACTATCAGCTATTAATACAAGCAAAAACAGTATCTGACACTTTTCACACTACAAAATATTGTAGAAGCTGTGAGGCTGCCTATTACGTTTGTTTGTCTATTTTCAATGGTTTTTTTCTAACTTGATTTTTGTCACTTCCAGATGAGCCTGGTGGTGGAGAGAAACCGTCAGATGAAAAGAGGAAAGAACAAACGACACCGGTTGTCTCTCCATCCCAGGGAAGCCCAGAGGCTAAAGAAGAAAGGTAGAAAGACAGATAATGATATTTTTTGAAACACAGTTTTTTTTTTTTCTCCATTTGGATATAGTAAGGGAATAATGCTATACTTCAAAAGCTGTTTGCCTCTGTAGCTGATCCAAGTTCTCTTCTCTTATTGCTCCCACAGCAGCTCCAGCAGTAACTCAAGCAGCAAGAGTGAGCAGCCTGAAGTTACACCCAACACATTAATCAACACTTTTCCTCGTGCCCCCGGCACCTCCGACTCCATCAGGCTCAAATGCAGAGAGATGATATCCAATGCTCTGCAGACCGGGGGTGATGCTCTTTTTGTATTTATTTATTTAACATTTTTACAGGTTGTTTGTTTAGTTAGAGTATTTGTCAACATTTTCCCCCACCCTCTGACTTTTGTTTTGTTTGTTTTCCAGAGGATTATATTGCCATTGGTGCTGATTGTGACGAACTTGGAGCACAGATCGAGGAATATATCCTTTACATTGAAAGGGAAATGTGTTTGAAGCAGATGTTGGTGTTACTTCAGGATATAATGAGATTCTGGGTGTTGCAGTGTTTTAAATAACTTCTATAATGCTTTTTAGATGAATTATCACATTAGAGCTGTACCTAATGAATATTTTCATTATTTATTTCCTTCTAATTATAATTTAGTTTTTTCAATTTATTAATTTCATAGTCTATAATAAGGATGGGGGTTCGAGACCCGGTTCTATAAGGGCCTGGTTCCTCGGACACTGAAACGTGGTATTAAACGGGGATAAAGACTGTAGTGTTTATTATCAGGCTGCATCCTCTGCCTGCTCTGTGTGTCGGCTCCTAGATACACACACATGCACGCACACAGAGGCCAGCCGTGGTGGAGACAGTGAAGTGAAGCTAACTTAACTCCAAAGTGCTCAAGTTTACGACAGCTTCGTCAGTAAAAAGACAATACTTTATCAATGTATCTGTTCAACAAGCATAAACATGTAGAAAGTGTTATTGTAGTCTGCTCTGTCCATAGTCTCTCATCCTCTATGTTTTACACAAGCACAGCTAACGTAAGCTTGGTAATTAGCCAAATGTTACAAACTAAATTGAAAGCTGTCTGTCTGAAAGTCTTAAATTTTTAGCTTAGTTTGACACGTAACTCAAAATTCTGCTCATTGTTGTAAACCCAGCTGCTGGCTGAGACAAACCAGCCGCTTGTGGAAGAGGAGGTGGAGGTAGTGGTGGTGGAACATTTAGTTGTATTTTGAAGAAAAGTATCCATAAAGACTGATAATGGTACGAATATCAATTCAATTGCTATTGGTGTAGATACCAATTCAATACCACAGTCAAAAAGAAATCAATAAATCCCATGTACTTCAACATACACACTTAATAAAAACATTTCAACATTAAACATAATACAAAAAACAATAAACTAAAAACAACTAACCGCTGTGAAACTTGAGAGAGGAGGTGAGCTGAGAGGGGATTTGATGTTCATAAAGGAGCATGCTATTGAAATTACAAATTTGCACTGTGTGGTTGTGGTTCAGGAGATAGAGCGGGTTGCCCGTTGATCGGTAGGCCGGCGGTTCAATCCCCAGCTTGACCAGGCTGCATGTTGAAGTGTTCTTGGGCAAGATACTGAACCCTGAATTACCCCTGGTGGCTGTTTCACCAGTTTATGGATGTGTATGAATGTTAGTTTCTGTTTGAGCGTGAATGAAAAAAGACTAGAAAGGTGCTATACAAATACGGAGCATTTAAAATAAATGAATTACTGAATTTTCTTAACTTGTTTTTAACAATTTCACAGGTGGTTGACGGTGGTCACTTTCGATATTGCCAGTTTTCTGAGACTTTTATATTGGAAAAACAAAAAAGTTATTGGTGATTGAAATGGATTGGATTGCACGTTTGTGACGGTTCCCAACTCGGCCTACAGTAACGGGAGCGTTGCAGTCTAAATCCCTAAACTATTATGAACATTAAAAAAAATTCTCACATTTTAGAAGGTTAAAGCAGAGAATGTTAAATTGCTTAAGTGCCTAATCCATTGTCAAAAATGTGGTTAAATTTGTTGTGATCAGTCAATCCATGAAATCTTCAACAGTACCACACATAAAAGGCTGTTATCAGTGTACTTATAGGCCCTACTTTCTTTTTATTTATTTATTTTTATAATTAAGCATAACAAATACATGATCACAGTTGAGTTCCTTGACCTGCTATCACGTATCTTCCAAGAGTTTAAGAACACAGACATGAAATACAAGAACCGTGTGCGAAGCCGAATCTCGAATCTGAAGGATATGAAAAATCCCAATTTAAGGAGGACTGTGCTGTGTGGGAGTGTCACCCCTGAGCGGATGGCTAAGATGACTGCAGAGGTTCGTTGGCTGTTTGTTTTTTCTTAAAGACAAACAGTCTGACAAACTGACTAATGGCAAACAGTCAGTAGTATAGTTATTTCAACACTGTTGATGCGGTTACATACTTTCTCTTAAATGTTTGATTAGATTTTGGTGTAAATTAATTATATATTATATTGTGCATCTAATTGTATAGATTTAAATGAGTTTGTTGTAAAGCATCATAAATTACATTTTTCTTTTTCTGTAGGAAATGGCCAGTGACGAGCTAAAAGAAATGAGAAAGAATTTGACCAAAGAGGCTGTCAGGGACCACCAGATGGCCACCACTGGAGGCACTCAGACCGATCTATTCACATGTGGCAAGTGCAAGGGGAAGTGCTGCACCTACACACAGGTACAGACACACATTTACGCTTCATTTTAACTGTGGCAGCAGCAGAAGGGATGATACGGTTGATGGTAAAATTGGTTTAACAAGAATCTACTTTGGAAAGTCTGTGCAAAGTTACAGGTGCAATTAATGATCAATTTCACCACAGTTTTTGTTTGTCCCTGCATACACAAACATCATTGCTTGTAAAGGGGTATATAAATCCATGTACTCCTTTTACTTTGGTTAAAATAACATGGTGCATTATAATATTGGTATGACTGCACGCTCATAGAGTAAATGGGGTGCAAGTTGGGGACTTTTCCATGATTTTTTATTTTTTTGACAGGTTTTGAGCAGCTCTGCTTGTTCATTATGACGACGTGATCAATGGTTTGTGCATGTTTTTGTCATTTCCAGGTTCAAACTCGCAGTGCTGATGAGCCAATGACCACATTTGTCTTCTGCAATCAATGTGGAAATAGGTGGAAGGTGCGTTACCTATATGTTTACTGCCACCTGTGCTCAACGTATCAATGCTATTCAGCCTTTAAACAGAAACCTGTGTCCTGTTGAGATATGAATATATGTTTTTGCTATTTTATATTATTGTAAATTGAACATCTTTTTTGTTTCGGACTGTTGATCAACAATAATTAAAATAATTATTACTTCCAGCCCTACAACATGTATTTCTTATACTTGTTTTTTTGAAGTTGATCATCAGTATTTAATGTAAATCTTCCAGTTTCTAGGTATCAACATGTGTTTGTTTTTTGTCCTAGTTCTGCTGAGTCTGCAGGCATTTCCACGGCACTCCGACAAGTAGCAAACTTCCTGGACCAGGTTCTGTCACTCTGCAACAGATTGGAGCTTTGCATTCTGTGGTACATGGTGCACAACATGCCGTTCAAAGATGCCACTGCGGTTACTGTTTGAATAAATATCCTGTTCATAGATCGAGCTCATTGTCATTTCCCGATGCCCTCCCCCAAATCTTTTACTATTGTTATAAGTTGTTTCTCACTGTCAGATATATGCGATCAGTCTTGTCTCATTCTCTTTTATCCACATTTTTTATATGTAGTTTTAACACTTTGGACAATGTTGTTTTGCTTTCCCCTCACAACATTGCATTGTTTTATTTAATTTCCCAATAAAGTGTAATCCATTTGATTAAAAAGAAGTGCTTTTCATTAGTCTCTTCTGGTTATGTGAATCTTGAACATCTGAGAGGAAAAACACTGTGTGTTTGTGTCAAGGAGTATACATTTGTTATTGGGGGAATATTCATCACATCAAAGTGAATGCAGATGTGTGCATATTTATCTGTCCAGGGACAGGATAATGTCATTGGCTGAACCAGGGAAGACACACAATTGCTTCCCTTTCGTCAAGGTTTTTTTTTTTTAATTGCCAGGTGCAACCACTCCATGTTGAGAAGCGGTTGTGCTGCCTTATCCTCACACAAACTGAACCCAGACCAGAGACATACAAGTCTGTCAGCTAAAATGTCATCTAATAACTACTAATTTAATATTAAGCTGTGTGGAGCATATTTTTTTTCTGTTGTCTGCTAAGTGCCTCAATACATTGATTATTAAGCTGTACATTTGAAGAAAATGTAATCCCATTAAGCCATAAATTTAACATAATTTAAACTGGTGAATTTTGTCTTCTGGATTCATCTATTTAGACTGTTTTGGGGAAACAGTGGGGGTTGGAAACCTCCATGAGGTTTTACAGAATACATCTGAGGGGTAGTTATATCATTACCAATACTGTTAATAAGAAATCATACAAGGTGAGAAGGTAACGTTACTCTAGTTGAACTGCATTACAACTCATAGACAGGCAACCTGTGCTTGAGTCAACGCTAATTCACTTTAAATTGCTTTAACTCTTGTGTTCTGTTGACAGTGGCTTTCCTTACTTACTTTTCTTATGACCTTTACCCCAATATGTACACAAGTATTGAAGTGGTGATCCTTTGCCACAAATTGATCTTGCATATTTGTTGAAGGTGAAATTTAGAAATGACCAAAAATAACATTCTTAATGCACCAAATGACATTGGCTATGCATTAAGAAATGTATATATATCCTGCAGTGATGTTACTTATGTTTGGGTCATAGACCAACTTCCTGTTGGATATCTTATGATCATTATTATAAGACATTTTCATGAAATCAGAAAAGTATAAAGGTGATAAAACAATGCTGTGTATGTTTTGTGTTGATCACTTAAAGAGGGCCCCCTGGGTCTCCAAAAGAACATTAGTGTTGAAGGGTCTCAAGCCAAGAAAAGCTTGGAACCACTACTGTAATGAACACAGACACTTGCTCAGTGAGAATCACTTTGTAAATGTTTATGTTCATTTACCAGTATTTTCCATGTTTGCCAATTTAATGAAAGATCCTATACTGCTACACATCAATAGGCAAGTACAAACTGAACTGTCACTGATCTTGAGTAAAATGTAATTTAGTAACTATTTTATTAATACATAAGAAGCTCAAGCATGCAACATGTCTTTAGTTCTGTGATTAAGTGCCTCACTGTAGTGCTTGAGTATCATTTATTGATGACCAATGGTTGTGTTTTTGAGATCAAATGATTCGAGTCAGTAAAATTATTGTGCTTTATTTTATCTCAATCAAAATGCCCACAAGTCATTATTTTCTTGGAGAGCAGCAGAAAAAAAACTAAACCATATACTGTAAACATTCACATTATTTGTTTTTTTAAAAAGGTATTCATCAGTAAACCCAGCGCAAAATAACACATTTCATATAGTAAACAGAAGAAGAAACAACATTTATAGGCATCACTCCAAACCATTGGCTTAGATTGTGTTTTGAGGTTGATCTACGCGGTGTATCCATCAGCTCAAATTGCACATAGTAAGTTAAAGTTAACTCTAAGACAAGTAGAAGTGCCACTGAGAAGCACGCAGGTTGGCAAGACGTTCAGATCAACCAGCCCTATCCACTGATCTTTGTTTGTCCTCTGCAAATAAAGACATGTGTTGTCATCACTCTCTGCCATACTGCTTGGTAGTGCTACCAAAATGCACTGAAGTAGCCACGACTAAGGAATCAAGACAAAACACATGCAATAATTTGGCCAAAGAGAGGGACAATATCCAGTTAATTGGCCTCGTGCTCCCGTAACCACCCTCATAGCAAGAGTCTGAAAAACAATTGTTGTTGCCCATGAGAAAGATGTCATAAAATTGAATGTCAAGGCACTTCCCCATGTGAGGATCTTGTCTTTGAGTGACATGTTTGTGAGGCAACAAAGTAATTCAACTAACACTATCAGAATACATAAAAGTATTTAACACTTGGCAACTCCAATTTTAGTTAATGGAAACACTCGATAAGCGTATGAACACAGTTTACATGGTAGCTTTGGTGTTCTGCTAACCTGGCAGTCACTTTCATTTAGAAGTCAATTGCATATTGCAGGTGGACTTTTAAAAGATATATTTAAGTCAGAATCTTGCAGGATGATACACAAACGACTCTACCTGCTGTCAAAAATGGTCAATCTCACAAATTTTAGTTTTATTTCACCTGTCTGTAATTTCCTGCTAATTTCCAAGAAGTTTCCTGAAAAGAACAATGTATTCAAGTACGGACTGTTTATAAAAAGGAGACCAGTTGACACACTAATTGTAATTAAATAATTCCAAATCCTTTTCAGCTAAAAATGAAAAAATGTGGGTTTTTTTCCAGGAAAATTTACAAGTTGACATAAATGGAGATTTAAATACTTGTTTTCCACTAAATTACTACCAAATTACTTAGTTCTCTCAGGAAACTTCCAAGAAATTAAGAAATTACAGACACAAAATAAAGTGTAACCCAAATTTCTACATTTTCTGGCAGTGACCTAACAGTATAGTTTACTCCACCGTAGTACTTAAATATAATTTATACGTGTTGTTTTTTCTATATTGGCAATAGATATTAATAAATAAAAAATACTTTATCTGATAAATAGAATTACTTAGGTTCTTATGTCACACTTTTAAAACTATATTAAACCTATGAGGTGTGCCATGATTAACACTTGAATGAAAAATCCTCTCTTAAATAGGCTTTCTTCTGTGGTTAAGATTGAGGAAAGAAAGTTAAAATACTCTTCCATCATTCATTTGAGTTTCTTAAGGAAACAAATTGCACACCGTGACAACAGTTATCGTCACTTTCTGTTACTTCATAACAACACTTGCAGCATTTTCAATCACACACAGTTTCTACATGAACTGGAGTTGCCAAGTTGCAGTCGTGGTACCCAAGTGTGAGATTAGGTAACAAAACAGGGTGAAACCAAGGTAAAATCATACAGTACCCCACAAAGCTGCCTGCAAGTAGAGCTAACATGTAGCCTTTGACTTGAGCTTTGATTTTCATACGCATTAAATAGAACCAGGCGTTTCTACATAAAATACCCACAATTCCATTTGTACTATTTACAAACTCATAAATATATAGTCTACAGTAGGAATCATTTCCCCCCAACAATCATACAAAAAACAACAGACCATAAAAAACTCTGAACACAAATAAAATAGATTATTTCTATCAAAAGAAAGAAAAAGAAAACAAACAAAATGTATTTGTATTCCTTTGGAGTGTTTTGCTATGTTGATCTGTAGCAGTACTTGTGATGTCGAGCCCTCGGGAGATTTTGAGACCTGAGTGTCTTCGGTCAGGTGCAGATCACAATAGCGCTGAGATCCCTGGGAGGGGCCAGGCCCGAGGCCCGGTTCATGTAATCCTACACTGAACATACAAAGAAAATTTTAAAAAAGGGAGGGGGGGGGGGGGGGGGGGGGTGATAAAGAGAGTTAAAAGATCACAGGTCATCACCACCCTAAGATTCGGGGGACTGCTCTGACAGAGTGTTGAGCAGGTTTTTGTAGTCTGGGGAGTTCATGTAGCGGGGATACGAGTCTCTTTGCATTAGTGTGTAGATCTGCAGCTGGGCATCGTCGAACGTGTGCAAGGTGGGTTCCTGCATGTTCCTGTTGATCGACTCACGCACACGGGAGTCAAGGCTCACCTGGGAGTCAAGAACAGGAGAAGATTAGGAAGAACAAGCGCGCCTTTTCAATGACATGACATGTTTTAAAGGAATAGTTTGATGTAAGCATCTTTTTCTTTCTTCTTGAGAGTTAGATGACAAAATTGATAGCACTCTCATGCCTGTATGGTAAATATGAAGCTACTACCAGCACCCGGTTAGCTTAGCTTAGCACAAAGACTAACCTGGCTCTGTCTAAAGATAACAAAATCCATCTACCAGCACCTCTAAAGTTACTCTTAATCCGTTTATAAAACAACACTTTACTTTTCAGAATACTTTGGAATATCAAGTCTGTTCAATTTCTATAGTTCAGTGTCATGCGATTCAAAGGAAATTCATTCTGTCTCCTTTTTCAGTTGTGATATATTGCTAAAATTGCTAATGCTAAATAAAATCTAAAACTGAAATGAATTAACATTCATTATTATTTTATTTTAATTTGTTTCGTAACAAGGCAATACATGTTCATCAGTTTAGTTTTAGTGTAGTTGAGTAGTACAGACATGATAGTGGTATCAATCTTATCATCTAATTCAGACGGATGATAAAAAGGGAATTTCCTTTAATATCAGGGAGAGTGACATGAACATTTGTCAGATGTTCAGTCATGAAGTTACACCCTTGAAATCAGTAACACAGCTGTCACACCTCTTTAGGTGAGAGAATGGAGATGTAGTCCTCGTAGATGACCCGAGCCCTCTCTTCTATCGCGCTCTTATTGGGATCTTTGCTGAACTCCTCACAGGCTAACCAGAAGAGCATGTTCTCCTCGCTGAACTCGGTGCGGAGAAACTGTCGGAAGGAGTTCCTCCCAGCCGGGCAACACATCAGCTTGTCAAACGACTGCCCCCATGAGCGGACCTCCTCCAGTGTGGGCTTAGGACTGCAGAGAGCGTGGGCAACATGTAGTGATTTCAACATTTACTTCCACAAATATGTTTAGGAGATTTGGCATTTTTGTGTGGTGAAATCAACTGACCAGTCTTCACAGTCTGCGGTCCCTTCCTTGACGTCATAGGAAGCCTTTCGGTTCCTTTCTTCCCGGTCTTCATTCCTAATGGTGACATGTAAACGTAGCATGCAACAGCCAAAGTGATTATGAACTGCACATCATAATCAAGGACTTTTTTATTAATGTGTTATATAGTACTCCTCTCACTGTACGTATCTATCATATGCACATAAAACCACCTCTTATATTTATCTCAACATTTGTTGTTATTGTTTTCCGTGCACTCTCACCTGTAGAACAATTAGTCAACTGACAGAAAATGTATCTGCAACTATTTTGTTTATGGATAAACAATCTCAGTAATTTTTTAGGCAAAAACGCCAAAATGTTGTTGGTTTCTCACTCAAAAATAATCTTAGCCTTCTGTGATAGTAAACTGAATATATATGGGTTTTAGGCTATTGGTGGGACAAAAAAATTAATTTGAGGACGTCACCTTGGGTCTGTGAAATTGTGATGGACTTTTTTCACAATTTTTTGGACACATTTTTTAGACGATTAGTTGATTAATTGAGAAAATCTGCAGATTATTCAATAATTAAAATGCTCATTATATATAGAGGATGGGTGGCGCAGTGGTGCAGTAGTTAGCACTGTTGCCTCACAGCAAGAAGGTTGTGGGTTCAAACCCCGGTTTCCCTGGCCTTTCTGTGTGGAGTTTGCATGTTCTCCCCGTATCCGCGTGGGTTCTCTCTGGGTGCTCCGGCTTCCTCCCACCATACAAAGACATGCAGGCTAGGTTGATTGGTGTCAAAATTGTACTTAGATGTGAGTGTGAGCGTGATTGTGATGGTTGTTTGTCTGTTTGTGGCCCTGCGATGGACTGGCGACCTGTCCAGGGTGTACCCCGCCTTTCGCCCGATGTCAGCTGGGATTGGCTCCAGCCCTCCGCGACCCTGTACGCAGGATAAGCGGTTGACGATGGATGGATTATATATAGAGGACATAGATAGTAATACTCACAATATATATGGTTGGTTGTCCAGCTCTTGCCAGTTTATAATAGCTACGTGGTTAAGATTGCTTATATTTGTTTAACTTGTTTACCGTTCTGTAAATGTTTTATTTGTACTGTGTCGAAGTACACCGAGAATTACTCAGAACCGGAGTCAAACTCCTAGGCCAAAAATTCTGATTTTGTTTGATTTCATCCACCTTAACCTTACTGAACACTTCGCAGCGGATAACTGACTGATATTTAGGCACGTTTGACATTGTAATGAGGCTGCTGCAGGACAAGAGTCCATGGATCACATGCAAAAATAACAACACGTGACACAAGCTGGAGCCTGCTGCTGAGACACAGTAGCTCAAGCTGTGCTGTCCTGTGTGCAATAATGTCGACCATGCTGGGCCAGGATGAGTGAGTTCTCCGTTGGGGAAGACCTACCAGGAACAGCTACAGCAGCAACACCAGCAGAAGCAACATGCATTTGAGCCCCGTGGGTTGGCCTGTTCCGGCTGGCCCTGCTGGGCTGGTGCAGTTCCCCCCGCTGCCGACTCCTGCTGCACCGACATCTGCCTCTTTCGCATCTCCATCCGCTCTGATCCCATGGGCTATAGACAGAGGAGAGGGGAGAGGCGCTGAGTTTAGTGTTTAGATGTCAGAAATATCTGAGATTTTACCTTGTGGTAAGAAAATCTCTTGATCCACAACGCATGAAACAAATCAGTGCCAGCACAGCACATATAGTAAGGACAGCACTGGGTGTACTGAGACAAAAGACCAGTGTAAAATCCTGACTGAATCTATTTTTTCCCAGCACTTTGATCGTAATGGTAACGATTAATTAGATTTATTTAATTTACCACTCTCCAAATGACACCTATGTATCTGTTATGTGCTCTCTGCCCGATGCCTGTGCTGGCATGCCTCATGACACACTGTAAAGGAATGCTGTTTGCTCTGTTCAAGGCAAAATTATGGAGGAATAATTTGCTGAATTTGTTTTTCCTGCTGCCAAATATGCACCCACCAAGCACATTTCAGTCCCTCTAATCTCAAACAGGCTGTGTGTTCCCTTATACACTCTGCCTGCATGTGTAAAAAGGATGGATAGTTGACCATTGGCTCAATGTCTATAATCCAAAATTTGAGAAAGCCTGAGTTTCAAAGCAGTGCATTAAAGGATTTGCAATGCTCACTGGGCCCAAGTGGAGCAATACATTAAATACACATGAAAATAAGGTAATTCTTTGTCTTTTTGCTCATCAAGTGTCACTTTGTCATGGACCTTTGGCCTACATTCATTTTGTCCAAGGGAAATCACTGTTATAAATGTGACATCTCTAGCTTATTCAACAGAATCCCCATTGAGGTTGTAGGTCTATACAGACAGGCTATGCTCACAGAATGACTTCTTGTCGGATTTTTGACAAATGTGTCATCGCCAGGTCAGAGACTGCCAAATCCTGTCAGATCATTTATGTAACAAAGCTGTCGCTTCCAACACACGGCATCATCCGGTTACTACCTGACACAAGAAACGATGCTTTTAAAAAAATGTCAGGAGATTTGGTACATGGGAGGAGGGGGGCCGAAGGCGCAGCTTGCAAATCTATAACCGCAGCATCGCTCTATCACAGCCTTTCAGTGAATACAATACCATTTGGTCATTTCTAAAATGGATCCGCGCGCGGTTTCACTCAGATTCGGGGCTGGCTTCAGCTGCAGATTTCGTGCGTCTTGCCAAATGGCATATTTTACGCGTTAGGTGTCGGGTACTTCAAAGCTGACAATTGCTGTACGCTATGGCTTGACTCAACAGCTATAGACGATGAAATGGGGGTGGGGTGGTCGTATCCACTGGAAAGGATAAATCATGATAACACCACATAAACCACCATTCTTGTTCACTCTCACTGTAGCAGAAACGAACTGGGATTTAATGGCCCCTGGAAGATTAAACAGCAGAAACCATTACATTAGCAACTCGCACATAACATCAAGGGAAAGTACCACCATGAAGAACCGTAGAGCTTCATCGCACTGGACAACCACCGAAAAGACACTGCCTAGATCTGTTATAAGCCCACTGTACAGCAAGATAGTGACATGCCATTTAAAACGCCGGGAAACGGCCTCAAACGCTCCTCTCACGACATTTCCGTGCAAAGATACATCGGTTTGCTAACCAGTACTTACAATTTCACCATGTATGCACAGCGAGAAGAGGTAATTCTTGATTACATCCGATGGCACATAAGGCTTTTCCCCCGACCGGCTGCTTCAAGTCACTACGCATGCGTCTTCTCTCCAACTCGTAGTAGCCCAGGGAAGAGCGTAAACCCCGACAGAATGGCACAGGTTTACAGTGCAGCTCCTCTACCATGCCTTGTATGTGAGAGACTCTAGAAACGGGATGTTCAAGCAAGGAAGGCTGCGTGATGTCAGTTTATGATAAAGAACAGGGAGAGGAACTGCACATTCAGCCTAAAAGCGAACGCACCAGTCAGAAAAAACATCCATAAACGTTCACTTGAGCTCTCTTCGCAGTACAGCTATTTATAAAACTCAAAACAAAATAAAAAAGGAATATCCTAAAAAAGCACTGTCCTTGTCGGCACATGCGCCAGGGAGCCTTTGTCTGAAGTCGCTGTCTTTGGTGCTGAAACAGCCAGAGGCTGATGGAGTGCTGCACTTCTAAACTAAACCTTGCTGAAGGAAAGCGTGACTTTGACAGCCAATATTATACCATTTGTGAAGTTTAGTCTTACATTTCTGCTGTCATTTAAGGGCTTTCATATTCTTGGCTGATCCATCCACCAAGAGCACCAAACATGTTGTCCACACACAGTCTGTTTTTTCCTGTTCTGCTTTGTTTTTTTTTAAATCCTGAATCTGTTATATCCGTATGTAAGTTTAGTTGTTTTAACATTAATTTAAAATTCTGCTCAGAGACGGGCAGCTGCAATTTAGTTCAACTCAATTCAATTCAATAGTACATGGGACATTTACACTGCCAAAGCAAGTGTAATATAGCCTATGTGTGTATATTGAATTGAGTTGAATAAACAAATCATATGCTGCCATTTTCCCCAGGCAGGTTATATACAGTAAGTCCTGTCATGTTGCATGTGAGCATTTAGTTTTTCGGTTCGGCTTGTGCGTGCCTTGTGATCTACAGTACAGACCTGCAACCAATAATGATGTGGATGACAACACTGCCATCTGAAGGTAGCTCGAACTATAGCACTAACATGATGCTCTGCCTGCACATAACTGCACCTGATTTTGAATTTGTGAAAGGCTATGTTTGCTAGATGTGATCTCTTTAATATGATACCTATTCTTTTAGAAGCTTGTACTGTGCCAGTGTATTTGCGGTTTGATGCACAATAAAGCTATTGATAGTGGGATGTACATTTTCACACATATCTTTCAACGTGGTCTATTACATGCCTTTATTAATACTTTGCTTTTAGGTGCACATCATGTCTTGCTTGGTAAAAACACTAGATGGCACTCTGCCTGTTCTTTAAGTTTATTATCTACTTCATTTACACCAGCACACTTGTGCTGGTGCCTGTCTGCTTCACATTGTTTGTCAAGCTGTTGATACCATGAATATTAAAGTCACTAGTCCCTCATTGTAATAAGAAGTGCTGCAAAATGCAAGCACCTGTAATAAAAACCTGAGTAAACTACTTGGCTATTAGGCACTCATCTGTTCTGTTATCTTGACAAAAAAGGGAAAATAATTAGATTTATTTGCTGTCCAGATTAGTTACTTTCTGACCGTGCCAAACTGGGGCGTGCCCTGAGCATCCCCACATCTTTATTCCCCTCCAGAGATATGAACATGTGACTTTCTCCAGAACACTTCATTTAACAGCTTCCCCTGTGTTCATGTTACGCAACACAGACCCACAAATAGCCATGTGAGATTGATACATACACACACACACACAAAAGCAATGAATGATACTTTATGCTGTCGGGATTCGATGAACACGCACACCTTTAGCTCTGAGAGCACAATGCCAAGTGGAGGGGGAAGTGAGAAGACGCAAGGTCACACGGAGGAGTAGGTCGTCAGAGCTGGATGACAGGATGAAGTCTTTTCAATATGTGATTAAGGGGATTCAAAGCATTGTGAAGCTCTGAGGAAGATATAATTAACTGTAGATTCAATTACTGAATCTCATATATCACAGGAGAGGAAGTACCTCAAAAGATCATGCATGGCATCTGTGAGCATTCTGAAGGTGAAAATGAATTGTCCAATCACAGCAACAACAATGGTGACAGAACATAAGAAAACACTATTTATTTTCTCTCCACTGGATGTTTATTTCCTGCTGACTTTGTCAAATGTTCTTGTAATGAATTTCTCACTGATTCCCCCAGGTATAATAATCAAGTTGCTTTTTGTTCTGTAAATGTCAGGCTCAATTTAATAAAATGCAATTAGTGTCTTAATCTTTATAACACACAGACACACCAGTTACACAGACATCTGTTCTTTTGTTTTGTTTTGCTTTAACATCACAACTATACGCAATAGGTCACCATGCAAACTGTCTGTCATACTTACAACTCAGTTAGGGGTAAGCACAATTCTGCTGGGCTCAGTTAAAAATGTTTTTCAGACCCTTGCAGGGGAAACATTTTTGTAGCTTTGTACATTCAGTGTCTTGCTGTGATTTTTATCTGAACCTTTTTCCTTGAATGTCATCATTAGAAATGTTGCAGGATGTTGCTGCTGTTGTTGTTTTTGCAATGTTATTTGATGTAACATGTATTTCTTTATGGTCCCACAAGAGGAAATTCCGTTTGCAGCCAGGGAATGAAAAGATACAAATGACAACAATGACAAATAATGAATTTACAAAAGGTGCAAGGAGTCCACCTCTGCTCTCTGGCCCTGATTTAAGACTCGAAGGTATTACAATATGTGCTGTGCCAAAAAAAGCTAGTGCAATAAAAAATACTAGAATAAGATTTTTAATAATTAAAATGTGACATAGGCCTATGTCACATTTGTAAGGTAAACTATACTTACAAATGGTGTACATGATTGAATGCAAATACCACCACCGCCACCAAACCTTAGGTTTCTTTCCTCTACTGACAAGGACTCTTTACTCTATAATAAAAAATCATCTATAAACGGAGTCATAAAGGCATGAAATTACAACTGGAACATAATTAAGCAATGACTTGTGAATGGGTGCCATATATTGCACAGTTGACTATAATTACTCTCCATCCATCTATCCAGCCATTAGCTATACCTGCTTATCTTTGAAGGGATGCGTGTATATTTATGGTATAACACAATTCAGGGAAATATGTTATACAGTATCTAACAAAAGTGAGTACACCCCTCACATTTTTGTAAATATTTGATTATATCTTTTATTGTGACAACACTGTAGAAATGACACTTTGCTACAATGTAAATTGGTGAGTGTACAGCTTGTATAACAGTCTAAATTTGCTGTCCCTTCAAAATAACACATCACTTAGCCATTAATGTCTAAACCGCTGGCAACAAAAGTGAGTACACCCCTAAGTGAAAATGTCCAAATTGGGCCCAAAGTGTCAATATTTTGTGTGGCCACCATTATTTTCCAGCACTGCTGTAACCCTCTTGGGCATGGATTTCACCAGAGCTTCACAAGTTACCACTGGAGTCCTTTTCCACTCCTCCATGACAACATCACAAAGCTGGTGGAGGGGATCATGCTCTGCTTCAGTATGTTACAGTACAATCTGGGATTCATGGTTCCCTCAATGAACTGGGCCGGCAGCACTCATGCAGCCCCAGAGCATGAAACTCCCACCACCATGCTTGACTGCAGGCCAGACATACTTGTCTTTGTACTCCTAACCTGGTTGCCGCCACACATGCTTAACACCATCTGAACCAAATAAGTTTAACTTGGTCTCATCAGACCACAGCACATGGTTCCAGTAATCCATGTCCTTAGTCTGCTTGTCTTCAGCAAACTGTTTGCGGGCTTTCTTGTGCATCATCTTTAGAAGAGGCTTCCTTCTGGGACGACAGCCATGCAGACCAATTTGATGCAGTGTGCGGCGTATGGTCTTAGCACTGACGGGCTGATCCCCCACCCCTTCAAACTCTGCAGTAATACTGGCAGCAATCATATGTCCCATATATAGTATGTATCATATATATGTATTTCCCAAAGAAAACCTCTTGATATAACGCTGAGCACGGGCACTCAACTTCTTTGGTCGACCATGGCGAGGCCTGTTCAGAGTGGAACCTGTCCTGTTGAACCACTGTATGGTCTTGGCCACCGTGCTGCAGCTCAGTTTCAGGGTCTTGGCAATCTTCTTATAGCCTAGGCCATCTTTATGTAGAGCAACAATTTTTTTTCAGATCCTCAGAGAGTTCTTTGCCATGAGGTGCCACGTTGAACTTCCAGTGACCAGTATGAGGGAGTGTGAGAACGATAACACCAAATTTAACTCACCTGTTCCCAATTCACACCTGAGACCTTGCAACACTAACAAGTCACATGACACCGGGGAGGGAAAATGGCTAATTGGGCCCAATTTGGACATTTTCACTTAGGGGTGGACTCACGTTTGTTGCCAGCGGTTTAGACATTAATAGTTATTCAAACTGTACACTCACTACTTTACATTGTAGCAAAGTGTCATTTCTTCAGTGTTGTCACATGAAAAGATATAATCAAGTACTTTATAAAAGATTGAGGGATGTACTCACCTTTGTGAGATACTGTATATATATGTCTAAATAGGTAAATGTGTGCATGTATGAACTGACTGCATGGTCAATCACATTATCTCTTATAATTAAAACTGGGTGTACGGTAATCAATGAAATCTGGAATATAGTTTCCATTTCCTTTCTAGAGTAAGCTCTGACAGCAAGCCATCATTCACAATACCAGATATTGCAATGTCCCTGGTTTAAGTCTGGCTTGGGACATTGGTTGCACATCACACTTTCTCTGTCCCTCCTCCTGCCAACTCTCCATTTTGTACTATATAACAAGGGCTACAATACTTAAATTAAATGAAATAAAATGGGCAGTTAAAGATGGGTGCATATGGATGACAAACCCTCCGTTGCTAACACTACCATACAGCTTTTGGGCCTTTAAACCCCTAAATGTGGGGCATTCCAATAAATCTTTTTCACAGCAGATGTTTTGAGATGTCATAGCAGCAAATGCACAGTTGTAATCAATAACATTAACGACGGCCAGGGGGCCAGTCCCAGAGTGCTATTACTGTGCATGCTGGCTCACCAGGACACTTAACGGAACTGGCCATCATTAGTGTTATTACTTACCAGTGTTATATGAAGTTAGGGCTGGACAATAAAATAATAACAATAATTATCACAATATAATTTTTTTCAATAACAATATAACAAATGTTCAATAAATATTCAATAAATATTTGATTTTATTCACTTGAATTATACACAAATTGTGACTTAATTTTTTATTAAGATGGTTATTTTGTTGAAGAAAAAGGACTGAAAAAAAGCTTTTACTTAATTTTACTTATGCATATGTGTTGAAAAAGATTTTATCATAATTGTTTTGAATGTTCTACCTCAGATCTGTGAAGTGATCCACTGTTTGGCATCAAGTGTTGTCCATAAAGACGAGTTTAAACCACAATCAACCAACAGTTTTGGCCATATCGTCCAGCCCTATATGAAGTATTCAGATCCTTTACTTAAGTAAAAGTTCTAATACCCCCAATGTAAAAATAATCTGTTACAAGTAAAAGTACTGCATTACAAATGTGACTTATGAAGTATGTAAGTATAATCAGGAAAATGTACTTAAAGTATTAAAAGTAAAAGTACACGAATAATGAAAAATGTTCCATGTGACTGTTATACTATTATATATTATAATTAGATAATTATCACTCTTACATTAATGTAAAAGCAGGACTTTACTGGTTGAGGTTTTCATATGTTTTGTGTGTACAAATCGTACTTTGTAAAGTAACTAATACCTGAAGCTGTCAGCTGTTAAATAAAGTAAAAAGTACAATATTCCCCTCTGAGATCTAGTGGAGTAGAAGAGTTAAAGTGTCATGAAAAGAAAATACTCAAATAAAGTACAAATATCCTTTAATTTGTAGTTAAGTACAGTACTTGAGTAAATGCACTTAGTTACTGTCCACCACTGTTAATTACACCTGTGACTTTCCTAAGTCAAAATATCTGCTCTGCAAAATGTCTATATGAGTTTGAATCTTAACATGATTAAAGAAATTAGCCGCTACTAGCATAACACACAGAACTGTCAGCAGTCGACTTGCATTGTCGGGAAATGTAGCATGTTTGGAAGAAGAATGCATGAAATTCAAAAGACTGTCTCCGGTTCTGCTGCATCCATTTTGACCTCTTATTTGTTTAACTAGTACTCTTTCACTGTCATGGGTCTCAGTCTTTTCATCCAGTTACGGTTCTGTTCTATACACTTTTTTATTTCTATTTAGTTGTTCAACAAGCACCAGTTCTACTCTCAAACACCAGGCCAAGCAACACATTTGTGCAATGCATATGCTAATGACTTGAACTGATTCCTCTGTCCTCCCACTCAGTTCTGGGAGCAGCTCCCGTGTCCTCATGGCTCTCTTACAATCCCCTCCTCTCTGTGAATAGTAACACAGCTCTCCTTACTACGGAAATCTTTATTTATCCGTTTACTCAGAATTATTCTGCTGCCAAACTCCAAACTAAATCACATTTTCAGACTATTCTTAAAAATGTACGTAATGCATTCACAACTCCCTAACTCTACGTATTTCTCATTAAATATTGCAGTTGGATGTTCATACAGGCTGCCGTGTATTTTGGCTGCCTGCGTGATTGACTGTGTAATTTTGTTTAGATTTCTAATGACTGGCACCACACTATTTAAGAACACATCATCTTCTTTTAATCTTCTTAGGCCTTGTTCAGACAGGAAGTACTTCCCTAAATAGAGTTTTGGCAAGAAGCAAAAAGAGTAGCTGAAACTCTGACAAGGACAATCTAATTATAACAACTACAACAACAACAACAACAAACAACAACAACAGTGTGAATGGTGTTTCATTTGCTGCAGGTGATTAATGTTAAGAAACAGATATCATTTTAAAGGTGTGTGGATATATATATATATTGCTTCTCTGAACCTCACAAGTTAAAACTCTTTCACTTTCAACTACAGACTTATGCCAATTTGTTATTTGTGGCTGCCTTTTAGTGCAACAACAAACAAGCAACACACTGATTAGCGTGAGCAAAATAAAGTAAATTGCTATGTAGCCTACAGTTGTAGTTTTACTTCTCTGGTCTGTGACTTTGCTCTATGAAAATTAGCTCCAAAGTAATAGTGGTATAACTTAATCAGTGGTAAGTTTTTTATAATGAGGCTATAATCAAAAATAGCAGTGCGTACTGGAAATAAAACTATAACATGCCCATACCTCAAGGCACACCATCTCCTGCTCCTCTTGAACTGGGTCATTGTAGTTCACAGGGTATCCCACACCATGCTGGCAGGCCCGGGCCAGTCCCCGTATCCGCTGCCACATCAGGACCCTGGTCCGCCTGATCCCCCGCAGAGCAGACGTGGGCCTGATCTCCCACTCATTCACCGCTCTAGCACATGGCATGCTCCGACCATTAGGCCTCACTCGCCACGTGAGGCTCAAGTCTCATTGAAATCATAAGAAATCCACACTTCTTGCTCCTTTATTCTATGTTTTCCCGGCGTCTCTACTGAGGAACATTGTGACAGAGATGGAGGAGGAGGGCGGAAAAAGCATCAGCGGCCCTAACGAAGAGAAGAGTGTTTACAAAGGAGAGGGCAGAAGGGGATTAGGACAATGTTCCCACTGGATGCAATCCTGATTCCTCAGTGCTTTACTGCCTATCACCAGCTTAGGCCAGATTAAACCGGGAGGTCTTAGAGTCTGAGCGAGATGGACGGAGAGGAAGACTAGTGACAGACGTGGATTCATTTGTGTTGTGTATGCTCCTTGATGAATTCCGCTGTAATAGAATGGATTAAAAAACATTTGTAAATGGACTCTGTAGAGGAAACATATTCTCCAATGTACATGCAGCGCCATCAATATACTCTAAAGACAACTGTGATGCCAGTCTGTTCTACTGAGGACCTTCTAACGTGTTGGTCGTGTGGCTCATTACAGACTCAAGGATAAACGCAGATCAAAGCTCTTTAGTGTGAGGAATCAACTGACTTCAGCTCTCTAACCTCACAAAGTTAAAGTAAACCGCCAACTGATAACACAGCTGTAATTTATTGGCTGGGAGTCCCACATGGATGCATTAGAAAATACAAGCTTTGTTCAGGGGTACAGAACATCAAACAGTTGCATCAATTTCATGTTTCACTGCAGCGGCTGTTACTTTTCTCCTATTTGGGAAAATTTAGTTTTTGGCATGGCCAATAAATAATTAAAAAGACAACACGGTAGTTTCTGAATCATTCACTTCAACACAGTTAGAACTTCCACATGGTAATTTAACCTAATACGCATATAATAATTGTTTTTTGTTTTAATTAAAGGAACATATTGATGGAAAAGTAGGTCCTAATTACACCCAAATAGTACGTTTCTATGGACTAGAACTAGAACTGGATATTAACTAAAGACAATGGCAGCGTGACAGTAGTCTCCCTGCCTGAGCAGCTCAGGCAAATCAAATCAGTAGCAACTTTTAAATAACTTATTTAAACTCATGTTAAGCTGGATGATATTATTGCTGTAAAAGTGGCTGTAGCCTTTATTGTCCTGCAGAAATTAAATGTATTTTTAAGCCTAGAAAATGAAATGAAATGAAATGAGCTTAATGTACTCAAACAATAGCATAACATTGTGTCTAGAAGAAAAAAAAATAGAAGAAAAACCCTAAGTTTCCTAAATCACAAGTCCCTCTGTGGGTAAGAAGCAGGGTATTACTGTGGCAAATAATTTCTCTTTGAATACTCTTCTTTAATTAACACCAACATGGCAATACAGTGTACACCAAAACTAATTCAGGGGACCTTTAGTCATTACTTAAATGTATATATTGTTGTGAAATAAAAAATCAAGTTCTGAGATACTGTTAGACTTTTTTACTTTTAATTGTTATTTTATTGAGTAGCTGTTGATTCAATATACTATCATGACTTGTCAGAGTTTAACATTTTCAGTTATAAAATAATTAAATTTTAAATAATTGAATTTTAATTTTTGTTAAGGTAAAATACAATTTGTTGACGTTTAAATGGCCCACAGTTTCCCTCTCTTGCATGTGCGGGCATGTTCAAGGTAGACGAGTGGCCACAGGGCCACAACTGAAACTCACTGAAGCTAATGTGTTGAATGGTAAGTAATTTTATGCTTAATTACACATATTTGCATTCGCTCAGGATTCTGTTGGTGATAGCCTACTGTAACCAAATACCGAAATCTGGAAGTCCTTACTCTGAAATGTGAGCAGTGTTGATAGTACAGTCTGTGTGCCTAGGTAAAGTTAACTAGTAGCTGTAGCCTGTATTGAGTAGGCTTAGGCAGGGAAAATGTTTTGGCAAGCTAACTTAATATGGGATTACCCATTAGCCACCGCTCCGGTTAGCATATAGGCTAGCTACGTTTATAAACTACAAGTAGTTAGACATGATTAGACTATGATTCAGATGAGAAGAAATACTAAAACACAACTTAACTCGTGCAGATCAACTTAATTATTAAGTTTATATTTCTTAGAAACGTGTTTTATTGTGGCCAAAAAAAGCTTCTTGACCTAACTTAAAACATTATAATAATACTACAATAATAATATAATAATACTTGCATTCATGTTGACAATTATTAAGTTCATGTTACTTAGAAATGTGTTTTATTGTGGCCTAAAAGGTAATTCACTATACTCAAAACATTGCTTTGAATTAATGTAATTCTGCCAGCAGTCTTAACTTAAAAATTCTAAACGTTAACTTATATTTTTTTGTTGACCCAATGTTTTATTTTTTAGAGTGCAACTGCACTCTCTGGGTTCACAGTAGAGTCTCCCCACTGTTGCACATCAGAGTCTGTTACACACAAGTGGCCATGCTTAGGGTAACATAATATAAAGTAAAATAAATAGCTACAGTTGACAAATTCATTTGTATTTAATCTAATGTATTTTTTAAGAAAAATGCATTTTCTTGTGGGTTAAGATGCCCCCCTAAATCACTTTAATAGGTGCAAATTAAAGATAAAATAAACTACAAGTAGCTGGTTAAAAGCAAGGGGATTATAGACCTATGTTTTAGAAATAAACTTGCCTTGTCTTATGTTATTCGCATCCCTATAATTTATTTCTCAGACTTTTAAAAAGTGAGGTTGGAACTTCATTAGCAGAAAGTCTGAGGTAAAATATGCGCTTGCCAGCATATGTGAGTTTATAAACCTCAGATTTTTACCTAGTGAAGTTGCTGGTTGGCTAAAAGATCACAGGTAAAGCGCTAAAACCTAAGAAAAAGCTACCTAGTGTCTAAATAACATAACTTACAAACGATCAACCATAAAGGGGCTCGGCGACCGGGAGGTATCTTACCCCAAACATACTAATCTCTAACAAATCTAATAAAAATCTCTCTCTCTAAACAATTGCATAACTTATCTTATGGCTCCCCTTAATGTAAATATACATACATATTTAAATTTAACACAATTAAAAAAAAATACAGCTTATTATAACTGACAATAAATGAGATCAACTTAGGTAAGAATGTTTTTGATCAAATAACTTCAATAACTGTGATGAGCAGAGGGCATTTTTAGTTTTTATCACATTTTGTGTTTTTAGTTACAATTACCGTGGGGGGGCGACTTACCCCATGCTACCCTATCTTTTGCCTGTACTAAAGCACTGTAGCAATGGTGCTTAAATGAAGGTGTCCATCAGTATTCAGTTAGATCTTATTTCTAATCTTCAAACTAAAAACGTATCTGCGCTGTCTAACTTGTGCTGAGGTCAGACTGAGGCTCATGTGACAATCTGTCACATGATCGACGCCGCGTTGTAGTCTATCAGCTGTTTGCTCTGGACAGGAATTGAGTGAGTTTTTACTCTGTTATTCAGGATAACATTGATTCAGTTTTCCCGGATTGAAAAGTTTGTCTAATTCTGTGATTCCAAATGTTATCACCTGTTTGGCTGTCGGTGACAGAACGGTTGCGAAGCTATGTTAGCACAGCTAGCTTAGGTTAGCATCCCCAGCTGATTTTGCTAGTTGTTGCTAGCCAATAGTGTAAGCGACCTGTGCCACCTTTAACGTTGTAATTTGATAATTATATATATTGAGCTACAGCCTTAATACAGTTTAATGTCATGGGTTATGCACTGCGTTGCTTTACCTCGGGTCCGGGAAAGACTCATCATGACATGTCGTGACATTGGCTTAAGCTAGTTAGCTAGTATGACCTGCTGCTTCTGGTTTGTTAGCGAGCCACATAATAAAACTTGAATTCAGTGATTCTGCCACACGTCGAAACATTCATGGCAGTAATGGTAAATTATTTGTAGCTCAAACAATCTTATATATGATAACTAATATAGCTTTCTTCCTGGTAACAACTCTGAAACAGCTAGCTTCGTTATGTCTTTAATTGATCAGCATCAGGCGTTGAATTGTTTGCTATAACGTTAGCTGGTTAATGTGCCCCGTCTACAATTTGCAGCTTGTAGTAAACACACCAAACCAGACCTGTAACATTGCCTCTGATGTTGAGTCACTGTGCTGATGTTAATTCTGGTGTTTCCATCCAGGTGGTGTGCGAGTTTTATCCATATATATATACACTGTACTGTAGAAGATATATTAAAAGATGGATATCCGCGGGGATGTGGACGCTGCAGTCCCCACTAATATCATTGCTGCAAAGGCAGCCGAGGTGCGGGCCAATCTGGTCAACTGGCAGTCCTACCTGCAGTAAGTACACATTACACAAGTACACCATGTTCATATACACTCGCAGGACACTTTGTGATCGAGGACGGTAGTGGTTGTGTTGTACTGGACTGCATTATATTGAAAGGTGTTTCTAAGTTTGTCTGCCTTATTAATATAAATTCCTCTTATACTTAAAGAAGTCTGCTTCTTATGATATTGAGAGGTTTTAGCGCGTTACCTGTGATCTTTTAGAACAATATACACTCTTTAAACATTCTGCATATTTTGTTGCGATATTGTTTTATTTCTTCAAGTTAAGCTCATCTTATTTCAGTCTTTCTGAGTAATAATATTGCAGCCCGAGTGCAGTGCGTCAATCTAAAAGCAGCTCTTCTCTAGTTCCTGTGCTGTGATTCACTGTCTGAGTGATACTTCCTCTTTAAACCTGTATGTTTAAAACAGCAGATCATTCAAAGAATCGGAAGAAAGAGTTCATTCCCTGTTTCAATTAGCAAGGATATACTATAAGCACTTTTTTTCTTTACCTCCATGGACCATTCATGGTGTGCTTTTCCTTAACTAGAATATGTGGTATTTCCATGTTAATTGCCATTATTGTGCAAGCTGCCCTTGCAATTAGAGGCAGCATGCTAGTGACAAGGCAAAGTCCAATCCTCCAGTGAGATGATCAGCGGCATTTATATTGTTTGCCAAGGAAATGTTTTGAATGCCTCATGATTAATCAATGGAATCCATCACTCTTTATGAGCCAACACACTGTTAGCCTTGCTGCTGATACAAAAATGTATACAATTATTTAATTCAGCTACATGGTAAACAAACTGTAGTAGCATTGTGCTGAAATATGGCTATGTCTTTTAGGAGTCAGATGATCTCTGCAGAGGACTGTGAATTCATCAAGAAATTTGAGGTGGCCAACTCTGAGGAGAAACATGTCATTCTGACCAATGAAGGACATCAGGTATCAGGTTGTTTTTGTTGTCAGTGCATTTTTGTGGATGTTCTGATCAAACTTGTGCTGTAGCAGTTCTCCATTTCTATACATATTTTTTCAGGTTTCACTAAGCAGAAAGACAGCTGCTTGCATGAAGTAGTCTCAGGGCCCTTTATGATAAATACTGGCAGTTGTCAATAGGTACATAGGTGCTGTGACTTTGTGGTGTGTCTTTCTGAGTTTGTTTATATCTGTTTTGTTATTGCTCAGTGCGCAAAGACCTTTCTGAACCTGATGGCCCACATCTCCAAGGAGCAGACAGTCCAGTACATCCTGACTCTGATTGATGACACTCTGCAGGTATACAGACAGACCCCATTGACTGTGGACAAAAAGGACATGCATATAAATAGACAATTTGAGAAGACAGACCATGGTCACTGATGATCATTTTATCCCCCACCTTTGCAAGAGTTTCAATTCAGGTGTTGTGTGCATTGAAGGTCTTGGACAATGTCATGATTTTATAAAAGGCAAATAAGTAAATAGGACATAATTGTCAATTGAAGATTGCTCCTTGTGTTTGGGCCTTAGGCACATCTGAGGGTTGGTTTGATCATTTAAACAAAGAAATTGCATTTTATACATGTAAATAAAAAGTGGTGGATTTGCTAACCTCCCAGATAATAAAAAAGTGTTGATTGCAATGACAAAACGCAGAAAGTCAGTAGGCTACATTCATGTAGCAGTTTAAAAAAGTGAGTAGGTAGGTAGGTTTATTGTCACAGTCAAGTCTAACCATTGTCAAGTTATAGAGTTGAATAGTGTTTTGTAACTCCCTTCTGCCACATAGCAGACGATAAACAATACAGAATCAATTATAAAAAATGGTGAATTGAAATAAACTATAATCAATGGAGCAGTGCTGAGGGTGAATTAGAGAGTCTGATTGGGACAGCGTGGGGGAATAAGCTGCTCTGCAGTCTGGTGTGGCAGCAGAAACTTCTAGGTGAGTATGCAGATAAAAGTAGTCTGTTATATAGAATTGGAGTATAGTTTGTTCTTTTTCCTTTATCTGGTAAACTTGGTTGGTTAAAATGGTTACTGTGCATCATTTTAATGTTTTTCACTTAAATGCTCCCTCCACCTTTCAGAAGCTGCACTGACTTCAGGGGTTAATTCAGGGTGTAGGCCTGGGATGTAAAGCACTATCTAGTAGTAAAAAAACTGAAATCCCAGCAGCCAGTGAGGTAACAGGGGGGTGACTGACATAAATGGCCACACTTTTAAACTGCTGAGTGATGAGTTATCATTATTGTCTAAAGCCAGGAGATGAATATGTTGCTTGCAAAGATGGATTGTGTTCCATGCTGTCAATCAGTCACTCCAGCTGTGCAGCAAATAAATCTGAAATCTGGTTTACGATCAAAAGCTCATCTAAGACCTTAATTCATCTGTTACTCAGGAGAACCATCAGCGTGTGAACATCTTCTTTGACTACGCCAAAAAGACGAAGAACACAGCCTGGTCCTACTTCCTTCCTATGCTGAATCGTCAGGACCTTTTTACTGTCCACATGGTGAGTTAAGAGATAAAGATATATAGATACCTTAAAGTGCTTTTATGGTATGTATGAAAAAATTCAAATGCACAGGTCACAATTTAAGCTGTTGATGCAACATTGTACTAGTTGGGGCATGTCAGACGTGCAATCCCACAACACAGGCAGCTTTTTACTATTGGTACATGTTCACATGTACGTTGTCCGTCTGTAGATTAAACAAAGTCAATATATGTGCAGAGTGGGCTGTGGACTAGTTGAGGAAATAACTCTTGTCCATGCTTATAAGTTAACCACAGTGTGGTATTTTTGGTAGCTGATGAGATAATTAAGCACAATCTTATTTTCACAGATAAGATGGTGTGTTCCATTAAATCTTTCACAGCCATGAATTTTTCAAAGATATGACTCCGCTTCTGTTTATAGCAGGCCATCAATAATTCCTTACAAAGCCACCTCTCCTCCTCCTTTTTCACGAAAACAGGCAATTAATGTAATAATTTCTGCCTACTACCCTTTTCAAATAAAGGATAACCACCCAACAACAAACTGAGTACTATAATAGGGCGCCCACAGCTTAATTAAAAATACCAACCAGATGGCATCCAGCAGGTGGACACACTGTGACCCCCAAGTCTGGGACACAGCACTTTAACTCTGTCCAACTGCCAGGTTGACTCTTGCTTTTAAATTAGAGCCTCGATATTTCTAGACATCCTCTCCTGGCAAGGAGGAAATTGGAACAACAGAATTTGTTCCTGTGTCATCACAAGGCACAGGAGGCACTTTACAAGCGGAATTGTTAATGCGATAGCTGAGTTGATATAGTTTGGCCTCAGTCTATTGTTTTGCACTTAAATGGGGTTGTAGATCATGTTTTGTGCTGTGGTTCCAGAATGAGGTATTTTAAATTATAAAACAGGTAGCTCAAATCAAGCAATCTGATTGGTTCTTAGTAGTGCTATAATGAGCGTATACAACGGCTGTGACGTCAAATTCCTTTGCACAGATCTGTATCACTCTGCGACAAATTAATATAGTTCTAATAATTTTAGCCTTTGGTGTATGTTGCTTAGCAACCATCACGCACTATGTGGCCTGACTGTTTTTTGTATTCATAAAGAAATGTCTATTGATGAAATAAAACAAAGTCAAATTGTAGTCTGTCTGTTAGCCTACTTTCTTTTTGTCGTACTTGGTAGCCGTTTTATAAAAGCAATAGCTCACTTCAGGCCATGATATACGCTTATTATATCACAGTTAAGGTGGTCACCAGCAACAACGCCCCTTAACTGTGATATAATAAGCGTATACCATGGCCTGTCATGAGCTATTGCTTAATTGAAGAACTTGTTATCTCTGTGTGGCCAGCCATTACCCTTTTTTCTTATTTCATTATTTCTCCCTCTCTCTGGAATTTAAGCTGAAGATGCTGTGTTTTAGCTCCTCCTTAACTTTGTAATCTTTATAAAATAAAGCAGCAGATTGAACAAATTTCACTACTGTTGCTGAAAATATAATTAATCTTCTGTAGTACTGTACATTTGTGCCATTTATCAAAAAGGAATTGCTCTTTATTATTGCTTGCTGTAAATTTCTCCTGTTCATCCACAAAAATATGAATTTAAAATGTCCTTCTTATTTTATTAGGCGGCAAGGATCATCGCTAAGCTGGCTGCATGGGGCCGTGATCTGATGGAGGGCAGTGATCTGAACTACTACTTCAACTGGATCAAAAGTCAACTGAGCTCACAGGTCAGTAAATCAGAATATTGTAGCTAAAATATCTTTTGATATTTAAAAGTCTCTATCTAAATTTATTTAATCTAAAAACGCTCAGTACAGATTGCTTATTAGACAAAAAAGCCATTAACTTCATGTGAAACAGAGATGTCAGGGTTTACATGTGACCTGTTAAATATGTTGCCTGATAGTGGCAGTTGAAGAAAGGTGAAAATCATTTAATTTATTCTTGTCAAGGTCATTAGCTTTCAAGATAGATATTGCACGTTCATAATTAAGAAGTCTGGAGTTCATGATGGTTGTGATGTAGGAAGGCAGCATGATCACATTTTGTGTCTTTGTATATACAGAATACTATATAATTAGTTTTGTAAATGAATAATTCACTTTTAGTTTCTTTTAAATTTAAAATGTTGTGATGTGGATTTATAATTTCTTGGATGCTTGTAGAGACATTAGCTTCTTCTTTCTCATATGAAGTGTAATTTATTCCCCTCTTTTTCCAGAGTTTAATTATCTAAGCAGCTAAGTAATTTCTACCTTCTATCTCTGTTCGTTTTGCCTTAATTCTATAGTTTGGGCTGACACAACCTTATCTGAATGAATGTAATGTATTTATTCATATTGAGTTTGAGCAGGCTTGTCAGACCTTGAAATGGTCTGATGAAAGCTGCACTGTAGGTGCTGGCT